TTCACTCGTCATTTTTGATTACTGTTCCAACTCGATCCCCATTGTGTGGAAGGAAGCGGACAATACAAGTCGTTTGATCGTTTCGCTATATTGGTCCCTCGCGCAGTATCGTGTTATCTATTTCCACATCAGACCCTTTTTTAAAGCGAGCACTGCAGTGATAACGACTACGAGAGATTTCGTTCAAAAGGTTCAAACTTCAACCTTGTTTTAGTCAGTTGCTGTCTTAAAATGTGGGTTTACTGCTAAGTTCCCGAGGAGCGATTTTTTCTTTCTGATTAAATATTTCCATTCGTATTTGAAAACCGTGTCGTAACTTTACTTTGCAAATGCGCAAGACGCGATCTTTGTACAATTATTAGCCTCCATTTATACATATACATGGAATGATAACGCCATCAGTTGACTCGTTTTCACAATGATATAGGCCAATTTTACCAGCTATGATTGTTTCGCTGCAACAACACTGCCATACATCTAAACGGTAAGAAAGGAAACCCACCTTCACACACGGCTTATCGTTTTCAATCGACTAGTCAGGCGCGGATCCATGGGGGGGGGGGGGGGGGGGGGGGGCGGTTGGGGGTAACCCCCCCCCCCCAGCTCTGTCAAAAAATGTGGTTTTTTTCCCATAGAAATTCCTAAAAAATAATGCGAACCCCCCCCCCCCCCCCCCCCCCTGCTCTGACAACCCCAAAAATTGATACTGGTAATAATGTCCGCCTGTAAAAAATACGGACAGAGGCAGCTTAGATAGGGGGTATTTGTACACCAAACTGTAATCTAGTGTTAACAATCGTCGAATTTGAACAGCGCCCCCTATTAAACTATGGTACCAGCCCCCCCCCCCCCCCCCCCCCCCCCCCCCCCCCCCCCCCCCCCCCCCCCCAGCTTTTTTATTTTGCGGAGGCCAAGTGTCCGGAGAAAAAACCTGTCTACATTTTCAGAATGTTTTCCTGAGGACCCCCCCCCCCCCGCAAAAATTTCTGGATCCGCCCTGCTATTGTTCCTTTTCTACTTTTCAATGCTTGTTATAACATAAGGGAATGAATGGCTATTGAAGATAGAGACGGTATGTCATTACTTGTTGGGGATACGACACGTACATCTATCACTTATCAATACAACATCTCCCGTTTTAGCTTACCCTGTTGATCCCCGTGTACATGTATGTTTAGCTGGGGTACATTTTGCCAAGCAGTAAGACCCTACAAGCACTATTTTATTAAGAATACATGGAAGCAATTAACCATCGAACAAGCTTCTTTTTTTTTAATGAGACATCACAAATGCACTCCAGGCCAGCCCGACTTTGGAAAGACGCGTCACCTCTGGGGATGTTTTGCCTTTATGTTCAACCTCGTTTTCTGCTCCCGCGAGAGGCGCCGGTGCGCAGGGGGCACCTGTAAATAATGGAAATCGTTTAAGACGGCGGGATTTACAGGATCTCCGAGAATCACAGCCCTGGAGACGGGATGAAGCTCCCCTCGTACCCAGCTTGATTAAACAAGATTCCGAAGCCTGGGGAAGTTTGGAGAGAAAGAGAGAAAAATAAAGCCGAGGGGCCCGACCGTAACATTTGCATTCAAATTAGTTTTATTTTTTTGGCACCTTGACGATCTTTCGTGTCTTGCGTGCCTGAATAGTGAGCCTATTATGCATTATACACCGTAGAGAAGTTCGTGAAGAACCTGGCATTTCGACGGTTAATAACCCAATCAAAATGAAATGATGTAGAATTTGTATTTGCAAAGCAAAAAGTCTCAAATCGCTAAGCCTGCACATCATCCGGAAATATTTCTTTATGTCACATTTCGCGGGATCCTACTGGCTTCTGCTGGTCCCGACTGTTTTGGGTGGTGCCTATAACTTATATGAAACTGCTGCCAGCCCAGAAAACTACAGCTCAAAACTGTCAAAAAGAGGTAGTCGGTTCGAATCTCTCCGTTGTCTTCCAGTGTCTTGGGAAGAAGTTACAAAAAAACATATGCAAACAAATAAGCAACAAAAATACCAGCATAATGCAGTAATATATCGAAAATTCAAATTTCCGATGAAAGTGTGGCGGGCCGTCACCACGTTATGGGGAACTTTTTTGTCAGGCAAATTAGGGCCAAGATGCTGTCACAATAGCGTCTTCGGTCTCGCGACAACTCATGTGTAGTCCCCGCAACTACGGAAGGGGGGGGGGGGATTTGCCCTTGGCTCTGTGAGGGTTAAGAATACAAGACGGATCATCAAAGAGTAGCCAGTGCATGGAAACCGAGGACAAAAGCGATACCTTACGGCGCATTTCTTGGCGGATCACGGCGGACCGTACCCAGGTCCCAGGGCCATTCTCATCAACAGACGGATTTGCACAGTCAGCGGTCACAAATCTAGCCTCGTGGCTCTGCAGCAAGCAAGCCGACAACAGCCTTTGACATTCAAAGCTCCCGTCTCCACCAGAGACTGATCCGCAGTGGTAATTATTTATGGAGGGAATCAGTTAGCAGCGGAAATGAAGGCGAGATTTTGCGTTATTTTTTTTTTTTACTTTTTAATCGCCGGTACACAATCCGTGCACTGCTTAAAAAAAAAATCAGGGAGCCTAAATGGATTCTTGCCTGATGAATTATGCAAGAAAAGTTCTCTTCGAAAAAAAAAAAATTACACGTCTACCAGACTCCACGCTCAGGTCATCAAAATGTTTTCTTGGCTGTTAGAAACAGTTAATCAAAAATCGGAAACATACTTAGCTTATGAGCCTATTTTGTACGTTCAATTGCACATCGTATCTTTGGTATGGCTGTAGGAAATCATTACCTCAGTATTTAAAAACTAACAAATACTTTCTGTCGACAATTGTGATTTCTCCACTTAAAAATAGACAAAGATCATTTTAAATTTATTTTCAAACCAATGTACAAGGATTTCATACCGAAGAATTGTCACTAATTTGTTAAAAGCCCTGGGGAATAGTCGAAAAACAAATATAGTATTAATACTAACAATTTACAGTCTATTTACAAACCTTTGTGGTGGTCTTTTAAAAATATTCTCAAATTACCTAAGTAAATACTATAAAACATCTATACATGTCAACAGTAAAACACTAACTCGCAATACTGATATGGTTCCTTTTTTTTCGACTGAGAAAAATCTGCTGTCTAAAGAGTTTGATGTGAGAAGCTTTGCTGAAAATGTTGGAGAATGTACACTTCCTAATTTCATTTTTTATTAAGCATATTTCAGATTATTCATAAGTCATGGTAAAGCCATCCTGGTATGATAAAACAGTAACCCCGATCATCAATTTGGCATTTCAAGTGGAAATTCCTCCCGTTTTGCCATTAACCCCAACTCCCCAGCATGATTTCCTAGGAACCATACCCGTCCTGGCAAATTCCAGCACCATATGGGAAACTGCACACACATATTTCTGACTTTGATTCTGGAGGTGTGCCAACCCTATGTAAAAGACTGTCAGTTTAGGGGTGCTGTACCCATCCCGACAGATTCCTACAAAACATGCCGTTGGGGTTTGATGGGTTGAGTTCTGTTAGGCTTAAAGAGTCATTTCTGAGGATTTAACCAACGGGATATTTAACAACTGCATTTTTTAATATATAAAAAAATCTTATTTGATCAACTTGCTCTCTCTGCACAATGGAAAACATTCAACCATATTGGTCAATATGGAAGTCTCACAAAGTACCCAGCAGTTTATATCAGGTTTTACTAATATACATATATACACGTATCAAGGAACAGTTCATCTAAATATCGCCTTGCAAGCAATATACACTTAAAGGGTCTATATAGTGAATTTTTTCAGGCACATATTTTGTGCAACTTTTTTACTCCTCTTAAATGTTTAAAAACTGTTTGACAATCCTTTTTTGTTAAAATTATTGAAAAATGCCCCTCTTTAAACTTTTAAAATTGTCCATACTTTCAGAACAACTGAGGGCGCTATTGCTGTGATGTCACTTTAGGAGGATACTGTTGAGTTTCGAGATTTTCTGTTGAAATTGTGACCCACAAATTTGCTCATTGAAAACATTTGCGAGACATGTTTGCTCATTGGCTTACTGCCATGTACTAACACAACAGCGAACCTCCAAAGACACGGAAATATACAACCGCAAAATATCCAAAATGTTGGCAACTTTTGGTGCTGAAATAGCTGTAACATTTGAGGTTTCTGCCTGAAATGACATCACACTTTTGCTCATGAATATGTAAATCCGCAAACATTTAGCATAAAAAAAACAACACCCTTGAAAATATCAAAACGAAAATTGAAAATAAGGTTAAATGGGACACAAAGTTCATTTTCAAAGATTGCATTAAAAAATTTACATTGCATTGGCCTTCAACAGAGGAAGTTCTGAACTCTAGAATTTTAGGTAATGGGTCACCTAAAAGCTGTTGGTACCATTTCTAGTGTTTGGCAAATCATGAAAAAAAAATACAGATTTTGACACTGATGGCAAACATTCAGGGTACTTGAATTTCCAGACCATTTTGGGGAAGTGTGGCCTAGTGGTTAGGGTTCGTGACTCATGATCAGAGGGTCAGGGGCTCGAATCCAGCTGCTGGCCATACGTTGTGTCCTTGGGCAAGCCACTTCATCCCCACTTGCCTCTCTCTACCCAGGAGTATAAATGGGTACCGGCATTAGCTGGGGAGTAACCTGTGATGGATTGGCATGCCATGCAGGGGGAATAGAAATATGTGATGCGATCAAGCTAAATGAGTCGTTTGTCGACCCTGGTCTTTTTTTTTTTAGAGCACAATCTTAGTATTACTGCTGTGAAAACCGCATGTGGGTACCATCTTTAGTTAAAAAATTACGGAAGTCAGAACACCAAGGAATGCGATGAAGTGATGTGATGAAGTGATCCTTTTTTGGCCTGAATCTCCAAATGAAAATTCCCGACAAACGACTCATGTAGCCTGATCGCATCACATATTCTCAGTCGTTTCATGCCACTGAAACCGGAGATAAAAGCCGGCCTGATGGGCCATACTGGCACAGAACCAAATTTACTTACTTACATTTCCAGTCCAACAGATTGTGTGTTCAGTGGACCAGTTTCCAACTTACCACACAATTTTGACATGCACAGCATCTATAATTTGTTCTGCTTGTTTCGCCTGAGCTAGAAATGGGGGACTGGAGTATCACGTTCGCTGATAACATTCTGGGGTGACACGCCGACAACCTCTCACCATTTTAAAATTCCAATTGGGCGTCCTCAATGTAGTCAAATCGACCGCTGATTTGGGAGACTGATCGGTCAGTGGTCAACTCGTCTAACTGAACAGATGAAAGAAACAGATGGAGAAAAATTACTCAAAACTGTTACACAGCGGCAGACACCAGCTCATTATATAGTTTGAGCGTGCAAATTTTGCACTAATTGATAAAAAATATAATCTTCTTGTGGAATTTAGCAACCCGTACAACACATATACTTTTATGGTTTATTTGATAATTTGCTATTTTTATTTATTCAATACAAGTTTTATAAACATGGAACTAGAAACTTCAATTCTCAAAAGTTTATACATGTGTGTCTGTCTTGAGATAAAATATTGGTGTACTTAGTAACGCATATATAAAACCGTACGGTTCAAATCAAATATAAATATGGCAACCATATGTGTAACACCTTCATGCTCCAAGAAGCCTCAAATGAAGCATATATGTGACCCGCTCTGCAAAAATGAGTCTGATGTCGCATAGCTTGAATTCCAGCTTTTACCACTTTTAAATGGAAACAGTGAAAATTTGCTCAAAATTTGGATTTTTTGTTTTTGTTTTATTTTGGTTGTTTGATAGTTTTAGTTCAGATATCTTACACAGAAATTTAAATATTGTAAGAAAAAGACTAACAAATTTATGATTTTTGGTGCTTTTCTTGGTTAGTTACAGTGTATTTGTAATTTTTAAACCCTTTTTTCTTCATTGAGACATTTCTTACTTTGCAAAAACTTGACAGAATTAAAAAAGGCACAACAGTGCAACCAAACGTCCTAGAGAGGTCCGTGATATACCAAATGAAAGCTTATTTCATTCCCAGTTTATTAATGTAGTTAAGCCACAGTTTTGCCACAACAGACTCATTTTTGTGGAGCGGGTCACATATATGATTTGCAATATATGCATATCACATGCAGCACCTTTTATATGGTGATAAATTGATTCTGTTCAGCCGTCTGGAAAACTTGACCTTCCTTCCGTGTCACATTTGGCATCTCGATGGCATTTGTTTCTTTACGGATGCACTTATAATGCCCGGAGTTATTGACCACATGCTTAGTTCATACTAATAATGGAAAATGCGATCTTGTGTTAATGAATTAACAGGCCTCAGTTGTCTGGGAGATTAGCTTAAATTTTTGCACTGGAATATATTTGTAGCAAATATCAATTCCTCAGAAATATATAAAAACTATGAGACATCCTTTTTTTTGTTAAAAATTTTGCAAAGTTCTCATTTCAAATGTTTCATGCTTTTCATGACACTTGAGGGCGCTGTTGCTGTGATGTTCCTTTAGGAACACACTCTTCAGATTAGGGTTTTCTATTCAAGTTGTAAACCCAAAGTTCCGCGTATTAAAAATATTTGTGCATAAAGTGTGGCAGTGTCTTACTGTCACATACTGAAACAACAATGAACCACTGAAAGCAGAAAAATAACCACAGCAAACCCCTCCAATTCTGGCGAACTTTTATGCTGATTATTTTCTAGATTGGGGGTATGGCCTAGTGGTAAGGGTTTGTGACTCATGATCAGAGGGTTAGGGGTTCAAATCCTGCTACTGGCCATGTGTTGTGACCTTGGGCAAGCCACTTTACCCGTACTTGCCTCTCTCTCCACCCAGGAGTATAAATGGGTACCAGCATTAGCTGGGGAGTAACTTGCGATGGGCTGGCATCCCATCCAAAGAAAAACAATTACTTGTATGTCATTTCGTGCCGTGTACACCAGAAATAAATGCAATCCTGATGAGCCACGTTGACTCAGAACAGACCTAACGTTTTTACTACCTTGTCTTGACTGCTTGCGAGAAAGTCGTCATCTCCCGAGATGTCAAAGTCATCTTGTATTTCTTCACTGATTTCTTCGCTGACGCTGTTTGCTTCATTGCTCTTCTGGCTCTTGTTCCCGGCAGTGTGGGCCTGGCTCTGACTGTCTTGAGAACTACACACAAGAAACAAAAATGATATTTTTTTCTTCTGAACTATGGGCTAATTTCTTTTAACCCTGACCTCACGTACCTAAAGCTACAAAATACTACTGAGTAGTAACCTGTAGTATGCATTTCTTTCCATACAAGTGTGCACAACACATGTTGTGGTATTTGGTACTTGACCCCCAAAGAGCCCTTCGGACATTAGGGATAAAAAATACTTTTGTTCAAAGGTATGGTCATCAACCTCACGGCAAGATTTTGAGTAGATTTATAAAATTCTGTAATGAAGGCAAAATTGGAGTGATTTGTGGCGAGTGCTTTCCTTTCTTTTCCCTTCCCAACTCTTTTTTCTTTACCAAAAACATGAAAGTTTTATTTTGTTTTATCAATCCAACTTATCAATCCAAATTATTTCTTTTCAACTCATGGTTTTGAATGATCATTTACAGGGAAGGAACGTCCAACATCATTTGCTTGACAAATGACTCATTCCTTGAATGGCCAATGACTATACTTGGTCGCAGAAACAAAAAATACTGCAAGTAAAAATTGCGCGATCCCCCTGGCATGCTGGCAGTTTGTATATAGGCAGTTAGTAAGGACAATTTTCAGCGTACCTAACCAAAATGAAATGTGTCATAACTAGCAATAGGGATTAGCAAAGAAATGGGTGGACAGCTGTGCTACATTTCATTTCATTTTTCATTTACATAAATCATTGGCTACCTAAGACCAAGGCCTGTGAAGGTGCCCGAGTCTAATCACTTTACCAGGGGTGTGTTTTGGCGATCATAACCAAGAATTAGTTCTGTTGTTTCTCTTTGGCGAACGGTTTTGGGGGTTTGAGTATTGCATTACCGTGAGTTATTCTCGTCCATTTAAAATTCCCGCAGAAATTCAGACAAGAAACAACCGAACCAATTCTTGGTTATAACCGCCAAAACACACCCCAGATACCATGAGCAATAACCACATATCAAGTTTGGTTGAGATTGATGACTGAACGTACAGTGAACCTTACCAAAACTGGCTGGCTCAATTCTGCAGTTAGTACTGCACGCACACACACACGGACACACAGACATGTTTATGTTACAAACTTAGTGCGGACATTCTTTTGTTTTCGTGTAGTTAAGAAAAACCTGTGAAAAAAAAATCATTTTTCTCACACTGTGAAAACTCTTTCAACCCAAATTTGTTTCTATGATTCCCTTTGGTGTTTCTCTTCATTTTGCCACAGAAAACCTAACCCAATAATGCCTCTAAACCTGTTTTCCAGAGAGGGGGAAACACTGTGTGAACGTGGGCAAGTCCACACAATGTCGCTGCTACCTGGTTTATGTGGACCTCTTTTGTTCGGAAGTCCACACAGTTAATGTAATGCTTGTACAGAAGGAATACGAAATCGCAATATCCCCCTGTATGGCTTACAAGCCAGGGGGATAAACATGGCAGGGTCATCTCCTTACCTCTGGAAGTCATCCTCATAGTCCTCACTTGCCTCACTCTTGGACACATCAAAACTTAACTTGTCTAGCTTGTTGTCCAAGGCTTTCAGATCTTTCCAATCCGGACTGGAAGTATCTACAAAACAAATATACAACGCAACGACACTTGACACACGCAAACGGAAACAACTTCTGGGAGATTGTAGTTTGAATTTTGTGGTTGATACAGTCTTCTTAACCAGTTCACGTCGGATGACGTGTATACACGCAAAGGTTTTGCGGTATTCGGAACAGATGACGGATACACACGCAACAAGCGAGGCCGGAAATATCTGTCTGCAACCCACTCGCAGCGAGCGAGGCAGGAAATATCAGGGTGTGCTACCCGCAGATGATGACCTGAACCCGTCTGGCATCGAGGTTCGTGAAAAACAATCCCGCGCCTGGGTCAGTCAATGTCAAAAAATGTTGGTGCAAAGTGGTTAATTTGAAACTAAAATTGACGATTGTTTGGTGATGTTGGCTGCTTGTTTTATGCATGTTTTGTGAAAGTTTCATTCAGTACAGTTTGCTTGTTTTCCCCTAAAAGATATTGTTTTTAATAGTGAGGAACTAATTCAATGACAATCAATACAATTGACTTCACCCTGCTTTGCCTACCTCTTGGCCCACCCTTTCCCGGTAATGGTGGAGCCCCAGCTAATGAGCCCATCCCACTCTTTCCTGCGAGTGGTGGGGCATTGAAAAGGGAGCTCATACCACTCCCGGGAGATTTTGGGGGTGGGGTTTTCGGAGGGGACTGAGGTGGACTCTCCTTCTTTGTCTTCATGCTAAAATACAAAAACCAGAAATGAAAAAAAAATTGTCAAAATTTTCAAAAGCTCGAATATATACAAGCAGATAAAAATGAAAAAAAAAAAAAAAATAATAATAATAAAAGAAACCCAACCTGCTAAATGTTAGTGGTTTTCTACTCGGTGCTGGTATGTCGTCAAAGAACGAGTCCTCACTGACATCACTCCCTGCAGATAGTGACCTCTGACGACCTTTCATTTGTTTGTTCGTGTCTGTTTTCTCCTTCATGGCTGAGTGACTCTGCGGAGCTGAGCTGTCGGTTTCGTTGGAGCTGTTGTTCTGCCTTGCTGTTATCTAGGGTGAGAAGTGCCAGGGTTCTGATAGTCAGTACATCACAATTAAGACATGACATGTTTCTTATCAACATACAGACATACAAGTTCGCCAAGCATAAATTAATTAATATTATCATGTACATATCGTTGTGTCCGTGCAACAAGGTCATATCTCTTAAAGTGGGCCATACCAGAAACGCGCGTTTCAGAATGTAAAAAGGTCGTATCTCACTTAAAAGAAACCCGGATGTACAAACAAAGTCAATAGACGTCGAAATACGACCTTGTTACACGGAGCGTATTCGCACGAGATACGACTTTGTTGCAGAATGGATTACGACCTTGTTGCATTGACGTGACGACATATACATGTACATGTATATTGTATCACATCTCAAGCTTTCAAAGACAAAGCTCAGTGACATTTCCGACATAAAATTAAAATGTCAGTTTTAAATTTCTCAACTCAACTAATTTGAAAATGCCTGATTTGTTTGAATAAAAGCTGAAATTTTAAAATTCCAATTCAAAACACGTGTATCTGTATTAAACTACACATGATTTATATTTAAAATAACTCTGATAACAAGCAAAGGCTGCACTTACGTACAAATATATACATAAAATTTAACAAAGGTGAAGAAATTAAACACGGAAACAAATGTCTGTACCACACACCTAAGGAGGCAACCTGAACTTTAGCAAGTCAACCTGGGGAGGCAGGTTGGTGTAACGGTACTTTCCTCGCCTTCCACCGCTGTGACCTAGGTTTGAATCCCGCCTGGGCCAACATGTGGATTGGGTTTTCAGTCCCTACTTGATTCCGTGGGTTTCCTCAGAATATTCTTCTGGGTTTTTCCTGTGATTTCTTCACACTGTCTTCTCTTAACTGGGCCCCATGGGAGACCAGTGGATTCCACCGAATGGGCTACCCAGTTAAAATAAGAAATTACATAAATAGACTTGTTGGCCACTCAAATTTGACCACATGGCCTAAGGCCAAAAAAAAAAGTCTTCAGTTTCTGGTGTGGAACTTGCCCCAAAGTGGTGCGGCGACGCGGCTTTTTTTTTTTCTGAAAAAAAGTAAGACTGCTGCAAACTGCTTACTGACTGGATGGACCTGAAATATATAAATCTAAAAATTAATGTGGCCTGACGTTGCGAACTTAGCAAGTTCTTCTTCAGAGGCTAAAAACAAAAATCTGTTTTAGCCTCTGAAGAAGAACTTGCTAAGTTCGCAACGTCAGGCCACATTAATTTTAGATTTTTTTTTTTCTTTTACTTTTTTTTTCTTCAAATGTCGGCTGATGACTGCAAATAGTGCAAAATATATGGGAGCCCAGAGAGGCCACATAAACCTTATACTCGAACGTAACTCCATCTAAAAACACTTTAAAATTGTGCAGCAGCAGGATTCCAGTCAAACCAGTGAGTTTGGCGGTTTTGAGATATCATCTACACTGAAAAAAAAAAACTTTTTAATTTTGCCGACGCGCAAGCTATCCTACCGGTTTCAAGTTGACACTGTGCTTCATGGAATCACTCAGTCTTCTCTGGGACTGGGGACTGATGTCGGCAACATCACTGGAGACGACCGAACGACAGACCACAAACAGCCGGCGATACATGCCCAGGAACTCATCAAAGTCAATGCCTATGTGGCAAAGAGGTAAAACATGATTTATATTACATTTCATTAAGGTATGAAGATGAGCTAATATATCATAACAATAATAACATTTTAACAATCCAGGGAAGAAAAAAAAGGAAACAGCCAGTCAACTATGCACTAATATTGACTACCAACATGGACATACAGTTGGTAATGAATAGAAGTTGCAATTTTGAATGATATTCAATATTAATTTTTATTAAGTAAAAGAAAAGATGAACTTTTGGTCTTCATTGTAAAGAAAGACGCATCAGAGTCAATCTATAAATTTGGGGTTCTACTTTTTCATGTCCCTGTTACAAGCATGACTTTGTAAATTCTGATTGTACTACTTAATACTTTTTTGCTCAAAGACTGGTTACATATATCGAGCAAACTACCTTGCAAACAGATAACAATTAGTTTGAAGTCATTTTAATGATCCTTGAATGACAAATAACAAAGCTCAGAGGTAACAGGGACAGGAAGAATGTCACACTTTGGACCCTAAATTTATAGAAACATAGTTGTTCTCACCACTGCTGAAGTCTTTGTCGCCAGCTCTAAATTCATCATTCACGTAGCGCTCCAACATGTTCCTGAAAATAAAATTAGTTTGCATAAATATTAATTTTCAACATGATTAAAGTAGTTGTTAGCCTTGGTCAATGCTCTCGTCGTTATTCGTCCCGTACGCGGTCAATCGTCGGCATATATCCTCACGCGCTATGCACATGCATGTAAAAATACAGCGCGAACAGCGACCTCACGCGGCCACTATTTTTATGCAAATCAGTTGGAGACGATCTCGAGCCTTGGTTCAATCATCCATGTGAGGTTTTGGGGGTGGTGCTCATTATGTTAATAGCCTTAGCTGACCTTAAATGTCGTTTTCTTATTGGTCGATCGTTGCGTGGAAACTTGCATAGTGAAATGTGGCACCGTACATAATCCATACACGTACACATTGTGTGTCTCTGCACACGGCACCAATGCACAAAAACTGTGGTTCCTGTCACGTCCGCAAAAGGCGAAATAGCTGCAAATAATTTGATGACGTCCGGATTTACCAAGGTGTGATTGGACACTCCACATATTAGCCCCGCCTACATTATCTGTATTCGCATACGAGGTACGAGGTCGTGCGCTGGAAATCTAGCGCAAAGTAAAGAAAAACATAAGCTTTGGCTGACGATTGAACCAAGGCTCGAGATCGTCTCCAACTGATTTGCATAAAAATAGTGGCCGCGTGAGGTCGCTGTTCGCGCTGTATTTTTAAATGCATGTGCATAGCGCGTGAGGATATATGCCGACGATTGACCGCGTACGGGACGAATAACGACGAGAGCATTGACCAAGGCTAAGTAGTTGTTGAAAAAGTAAGACGGTCAAAGTCTTGTTGAGGAGAGCCGATTGCCTACCAAATGGGTACAACAACGGAGAACTAGGAACAACTGCTGCTGTGTGACCGCAGATAAGGCCCGACAATGAAAGACACAAAAGCTAGTTTCTGCTCAAGATTAAAGCTACAGTCCATCATTTGCAGCTATCCAAAAAGTAACTGGCGCAATTATTGTTGCAAAACATACTTGGTTGAAAGATAGTAAGGGGACTAAACTCCCTGCGAAATTACTTTTTTCTGGCAATGAGCTGTCATTTTGAAGAAATCATCAAAAGAAGGCCTTTCCAACGGTGCATCTTAAGAAGAACTGTTGGAAATTTTTGTTAGTAGTTCGTTTTAATATTCGGCGAAATGCGCGCAAGCGTTGATACGACGAACACGGACGCGCGGTTGCTATAATTCGTCACATCGGTGCGCGACATCGCGTAGCCGCGATCGGCTCAGTGAGAACGTGTCTCGGACACTGAATTCAGGCCAAATTCAAAACATGATTCAGCAACTTTTGATTTGAAATCGAGTTGCTAGAATGTTGTTTTTCTCGAAATATACAGCTGAAGCTGAGCTGAAACTTCATCAGGTTAGTTGTTCAGCACCCTTCTTAAGATTTTGAGCACAAAGTTACAAATTATGGACTATATCTTTAAGTAATATTTATAAACTCTTACCTGTGAAAATGGGGAAACATGTCAATGAAAAGATTGCGAAGCTCATCCTTGTCGATGGAACCACTCTTGTCCTGCACACAGAATAAAAGGAACCAGTCAATAAAACTCGCCAATGGTTGTGTCTACAGACTAATCTAATGTGCGCCACTATTGAGATGGTGCCAATTTCAGTGCATGCTCAATGCATTCTTAATTTCAGGCGCATGTGCAATTTAAAACCCAATGTTGTAGTCGAGTCCATCACAAGTCCCTGCAAGTCCATCACAAATCCATCACAAGTCCTTCAGTGTCAAGTAAAGTCACTATTCAAATGAAGTGGTACAAAAGCATTTCTTTGTCATTGTTCATTCCGTTACTTGTGACTTGACTTATGAAAGGACTTGTGATGGACTACAACACTGCCTGAGGGCACCAGAAACGTCGGTGAAGGGCAAAACCTTATTTGATTTACGTCACCCCGATGCAAAATTCCATCTTATGAATACAACACTGCCTATTAGTCAAAGGGCACTAAGTGCATGCGTTCCACCTGTGGGAGAAAGTTATGCAACCTCAGTATTATAAATGAATGCGCAATGACTTATAAATCTGGTAAAGGGATAAGTCTATTAATCCAATTGCTGATTGTCTCAGATATGACCCGAGTCAGATATCAATCAAGGAATTCAAAGCAGCCACCAGGGTGGAAACATGTAGCCATACATGTACATGGGTACCACATGCTACAGTGAGTGTGACGAATAACATTAAGTGGAATCCGGCCACCAGAATTAGAAGCTTTCACTGCAGTGGTGTCACGCTCATGCGCATGCTGCACGCGTTTTTAACCCTTTGACACCGGGTGGGGGCTATAGACGTAGCTGGATGAAAGCCGATAAACCGGGGGACTGCTATAGCAGCATTCCTATTGCATATCCACATTCATTCATAGACAACGGCCGAATGCCTGCACGTATACACATTCCACTCCAAGTGCAGCTGTCCATGGCCGAACGAGACGCACGCGCATTTTGGAATTCCCATTCGTCGAAGGAGCCCGGAGTGCATCCGTACTACCTGAGCGCGACTCATACGAGCCTGGTGCCGCCGCAGAAAATGGCTGCCGCTAGATTTGTCCACAGAGAAGAAAACTCATGACATTTTGCTACCGGTACCAACGATGTTCAGAAGTTGTTGCTTATAAATGCAACCAATACAAAACGTTGCCAATGATTTCTCATTGGTTATGGGCAAAAAAATTGCGAAGGTTGGCAATATTTGTTTGAGTAGAACACACCCCTGATCTCAATCAATGACATGAATGAAGCCAATTACAAAATGTGTTTGAAAACGCTGGCCATGGATTAACAGCCACTGTGGCAACAATGGCTTATAAATGTGACAATCCTTAGCCTCGAACCAACATCAATTTTGAAATGGTCACCCGCTGATGATTTTAACAGTTACTTAACTTGGATGCAAAGTAATCCAGGAGAAAAGGATCGTTGTAACATACTTACTGCATCGTAAAAATCAAACTTCTGTTTGGCATCAGCTATTTGAACTGCTGTCAGATCCTGTTGGAATAAAGATTGATTCCGATAAATAAACAACAATTCCAAAGTCATTCCGTTGAAAAATTGAAATTGGAAGCTCATTTATAGTCAAGTATAGTATTATTTCCTTGTTTTTTACACAAAAAATGCATGCAATGAAAATGAAGAAACATCAAGCACATAATTGTTGATGTCAGTCAAAAAGTACTTATTCAATGTAGAAAATATCAAGTTCCATCATGTTGACATGTAAGCTGAATAGGGCTGTCCATTTCCGAATAAATTATTCAAAGCTGCATTTGACCGAATATTCAAAACTTGTTGATCAAGTTTTTACATTTACTAGCTGCAACAACGTGCTGCACCAAGGCCAAAAATAAAAAATAGTTCTGCTTCCGGTTTCCCTACCTAGTACCTACCCTATTCTGACAGCCCCTACCCTAATTTTTTTATTGGAAAAATGACTGTAACAATCAAAATGTTTATATAGATCGATTTTTTTCCCATTATAAAGTTTCCACAGTACTTTGAAGTTAAGCCTGAATACTTTTTGTGTTCGTAACACACGCTTGAAGGCGTAAAAATCCTGAAAAAGAAAATAACAAAATGGAAAGAAAGAAAAATTAAAGGTTTTTGCCCTAAGCCTATTCCTCTGAAGTCTACCTAAATTGTCCATGCATTCAGGCATCCTTTTGGGATGTTCCACTAAGAAATTTCATGCAATGTCAGGTTTTATTACAACATCTAAAACTACAGATATTTGGTCCGAAAAGATGTTAAACCAAAACAGGTCCCAAACAAAATAACAAAAAAACACACACAAACACCCAACATGCTCACATGCAGACAATAAGAATTAATCCATTAATAATTCTGTACAGAATTTCTTGTTAGTGTGCATCCTTGTAATGTGAAAATAAAAACGTGTTTATACATGTACTTTACAATTTTAATTTGTTAAAAAACAGGACAGATTTAACCTTTTCTCAAATGAGTTACTGTAAACTGGGGGAAGGGGGGGGGGGGTTAAAGGAGGTGGAGAACCCAAGCCTGAAAAAAATCAGCTGAAAATAACATAGAAAAAATCTCAAATGGGAGAACAGATTAATGTGAACAAAAAGTTATAATTGCATAAAATATTATTTACGTAGGTGCTCCGTACATGGTTCAAGAGTGATAGCATGTCAAATGATCAAAGTGATTAGTTCTTAACTCTTTCAGTGCCCGCGAAATTTGAAAAGTTTAACCCTAAAGTGCCCAACTTCGAGCTTTTTTGTTAATTGTTCGAAATTCTGTAAAAAAAAAAGTAAATAAGTTTCACGCACTAAATTTGTTGTTGTTGCTCTCTGGTATATTCTTGATATATTGGAAGGTCAAAAGTAGTCACAAACATAGTGATATACCCTGAAACACTGGCCTGAACACAGGGGAATTTCGCACTTTTTGCAGAAAATACGAGATTTAGTGCTGCGCCCTCTCGCAAGAACTTGAATGAAAAAATAAATACAGGTCGTACATGCATGAAAATGGTACCATTAGAAAGAGCGAGAGCGCCCCTTTTTGATAACATATTTACTCTACCTCGTACATGTACGAGGTTTGGCAATTTTAAGTACGAACATTTACGAACATTACCTCGTACATGTACGAGGTTGGCGCTTTTGTACTAACAAATATACCTTGTACATGTACATGTACGAGTTTGGCACTGAAAGAGTTAATGTCCAAAAGGCAGATATGGAAAGTGTGATACGCACAAAATGTTCAAGTCCTGCTTTATCTAAGATAGAACTACAAAAGCAATATGTATATCTATAAAAGTAATATGATGTTAAAAATGTAAAGCATGAAAGAAAACTACGGCACATCTACCTTTGGTATGTTAATATCCTGTGTAAGAAAAGGAAGCAAGAATAAGACATGGATCATTCACAACTTTAAGAAAGTACATCGTACACTGTCCTTTAACCCTCCAGCTATTCAAACAGTCACGGACAGTCAAAAGTCACTTCCACTTTCCCCTGCTATACTTTTAACAAAGGCTAGTCACCAGCAGTCAGATCATATGTTATGCAAGCACTGTGACTACATGTAGTCAAACTGGGTCAACGGACAAAGCAGGCAAGTTGTGGTCACAACTGTTTTATCACTCACCGGGAGTCAAAGCATAGCTGTATCAAGTTACTTAAACAGTCCCAGTCAGTCAATCCTGCTTTATGTAGGCTGGGAATTCTTAACTGTTGAAAACAGTCACTTGTTTGATTTTGACTGAAAGGACTACTTGGCACAGAATGTATGTTTGCATAGGAGGGTTAAAGATGATATCTGGGCCCTACTATTTGTCTTATGTTAAAACTCCTAGATACAAAATCATTGTGAAAAGTTAAAGTTTATTTTGGGATCTAAGAAAATAAAAACACCTTTTTTTGTCATGATAATGAGGTAATGATACAATATGCATTATGATGCCATTGTTTGATGTGCATGTACATGTATTCACTGAGTTCTTAAGATGTGCAAATGATGTGCTTCAGGATCTTATCTACATGTATCCTCAAATTTTCAAATCGGAGAAACTCTTTCGTCCAAGTTTATTAAACAAGGTATTATGATGCCATATAATGGCAGTGTCCAATCACGTTCATCATCAGAGTGCATTCCTAACTTCCAAACCAAAGAATACTTAAGGATTTTTACTTGAATGAATACTTAAGTGCAAGCAATGGACATACCTCTGCATTGGAGTGTGATCGCTGTAGGCCTGACCTACTAGACTGTTCATTGGCTCGTCGTAGCAACTCACACAGGAGGGGCTTGCCTCTTGTCTTCTCCGAGTCCACCAGGCCAAGGTCCTTGGCGAGACTGTCCCTACCTTCGTATTTCTCCCCCTGAACAAAATAAATATGAACATTATTGACTGCTCTGGTGATAAAGCAATGCAAGCTTGGTCTTTGAGGTGATCCCTGGAGCAGTATATTTTACCGCCGAGTCAAATGAAATGAGTAAGGGATCATCATGAAAACTTTTCATACTAGATATACAATGTACAGGCTCACCCATACTGAAATTTGTATCCTTGTGGAGACATTTCTTTGTTCTCGTGTAGTAAAGTTTTCGAGTTTGGAAGTGAAGTTTCAAAATGCTCTTATTTTAACCAGAATTAATTTCCTTGGCTGAAATTCGGACTTAATATCCCTTTTCTAAAACTCTGCCATTTGCGACCGATCAACCAAACCTTGGAAATTCCTAGTTTTTGAGTAAAATCCGTATATCTATTTCGTGAAAACCTTGTGGAGACATTCATTTATAGAAATTGCCCTGTGGAGACGTATACAATCTTTTGTTCCCTATTGTGTGCACGTCTCCAGAGGGCACGGTGTATCAGATCATCAGTGCTTGCAATATTCCATGAGCTCAATGAACCATTTCGGATCCTGATAAACAAACTTACAAAATTTGTTTCCGGGTTGAAGACGGCAAGTGTGAAGTCCAAATGGAAGAGTTCTAAAAATTCCTGAAGCAGGGAGGTTGCCAAAACACCTGTTGAAAGATAAAACATTCAATAAAATAGATAAAGTGCATGTTCACGTGCTATATTTAACCGTTGTATTATCATGATGTAATGAGTCAATCCTTCTGGTATCCCCCACCAAAAAGTTGATCGTTCTCAACAAATTAATGCAAATTTTCTGAGAATGTAAAGAAATTTGCCAACTTTCCTAAATTTCTGAAAATGATCTCTTTGGAAATTGGTTCCCTCTAACAAATACTTTAACTCCCTTTATTGTACTGGCACTGTTGCAAAAGCAAGCATGCATTTGTACAATAACATAGATGTGCATACAGTATCATAATTGAAAAAGAGTTCGCGGAAAGATTTCCATATACGACATGTACGAAGTTCACTTATTTTCCTCTGTATTGACCAACAAGCCCCCAGATAGCAATTTCATGTCATCAAAGTCAATTTGAGCAGTGAGAAAATACAAGCATTTTCTTAGAAAACACTTAGAATTTTTCAGTCCAATCTCATAGGGTTTGTACACAGGGTGTTGAGTGAACTGCATAGCACTGGAAAAGTAGACGCTATATATAAAAAGTTAATTAACTGACACCTGAAACAACCAGTCCAACATCTCTTCAGTACTGCATCAATCAACTGTCAGCTGACTGTGCCAAAAGAAATATCTAGGATGTCGGGTACTAGGTCACTATTTCTACACATTTCTCCTTAGTCAGGCACCAGACTAATGACACTGAATGAAGAAGTCAGTCTTGTCAAACAGTTAGACCATGGATGGACATGTAGAAGTTTAGTCTTTAGCCTCATTTTGAAATCATTTGACTTCCCTCTCGTGTGCAAGCCACTGCCAAATATTGAAGAAAAGTCTCCTTTAAAAATTGAATTGAGTCTTCAAACTTTGTTGGTGAAATACTGAGGAACTTTTCTTTTGCCCAGTAACAGTTTTGCAGAAATTTGCTGGTTAAAGAGAGAGTAAAGTTGGCCTGGTCTTCTTTTGCATCGTTTTGAGCACTTAAGAACCCAGTCTGCATTGATATTAACATTGTATTAACTTTTTTAAATAGATGTGTTTGCATTCTTTCCTTTGCTCAGATCAACAACACTTATGGTACTGTCAGATTAACTTCATCGTTCCCAGTTCAAGGCATTCTAGGAATCCAACATACCCTCCTTGGTAGTGAGGAATTTCTTCAGCTCCTGGTTGATGAAGGGAGTTTTGTTCTGCACAGCATCTTGCTCTTCAAGGGCGAGGAAGACACTTGCTCTCAGCTCAGCCTAACGTCAAAGGAAAACAATAGGTAGGCCTATACTTCTGGCAACATCATGCAGAATGTATGTGTACAAGTATGGGGGTTCAAGTTTCTGCATATTGTAGCTTTGGTATAATTGTGCAACAAGTACTACATTTTTTAAATTACTGTGCAGATACAACTTCTTTCTTTCAAATTTTAAGCAATGAAGTACATGTAGGCCAAAAAAGGGCCATCATGTAGTGTATGGCCCCGTTTCCGACAGGAAACAAAAATCTACTTTTTTATTGGACTTTACATTGTACCAAACTAGTTAGCGACATTACATGTATGTACATGTACATGCAGTAGAAACAGGGCATGGTTTTTCTTTTTTTTAGGGAAATTTTGAGATTTATTTAAAGCGACAATGAAGACGACAAAATGCAACACGAATATAAAGATGGGACCACTGCGACGCACAAATTGAACAAGCAAAACTGCGTTGATTCCCATGGCACCAACCATAAGACACGTAACAAATTCACATTTTCTACCACAAGAAACTGATCAAAATTACAAAAAATGGTGTCATTGAAATTAAGAGAACATTGAGAAGTCTGTTTTAGATTTTAAAAGTCATTTGGGATGATAAAAAGCCACCCTTGATTCTAATTTTATGAAAAGTAAAGAGGGCCCTACACATTGCTACACTGAGCTCATCGACCATGTTGACAGTATCCGCCTAGCTACGCTGTACTTTTCTACACAAATGACAATCACCGCGAAAAGACAAGAATTGCTGATTATCTCCATTAACAAAAATGGGCGAATTTGAATTTTATTCAGAATGTTAATGACTTATAATGTTAATTGTTATTATACTGTCATGCGGAATGCACTCAGGAAACTTCCATCCTTCTTAGCTGGAGTTACCCAGCCCTGAGCTTTATCATTGGGTTGTCTATAAGGGCTGGAGCGAATTTTTCTCGTAACTTGTAGTATTTGCAAAAAAATTTGGAAAATGTTCAATTTTGTCCCCGTTACACACTAATTGCAACTGCAACTCACCCCAAACTTGCCTGGAATAACCATTACACAGGTCCTTGAAGTAAAAAACGATCCACGATGAAGATTCAGCCTACAATTGCAGTGAAAACAGGAGGAATAACCGCTAACTTGACAACCTTGCTGGATTGGCCAGGACCGCCATTGGTTTGTGCACAAAAAAAATTGTGTACAATGAATGGCGGTCGATTAACAGGCACAGAGAGAGCGATCGCTGTCAACTACTCGGTTTGGCCGGCTGCGCTGGCTGTTGGCGCATGACGTCACGCGGAAGCGTAACACCCGATGACTGTTTTATGCACTAATATGAGGTTTACCACTCGCATCACAGCTTTGGTACTGGAACCGCAACCAATAGTGCATGAAACAGTCATCGGGTGTTACGCTTCCGCGTGACGTCATGCGCCAACAGCCAGCGCAGCCGGCAAAACCGAGTAGTTGACAGCGATCGCTCTCTCTGTGCCTGTTAATCGACCGCCATTCATTGTACACAATTTTTTTTGTGCACAAACCAATGGCGGTCCTGGCCAATCCAGCAAGGTTGTCAAGTTAGCGGTTATTCCTCCTGTTTTCACTGCAATTGTAGGCTGAATCTTCATCGTGGATCGTTTTTTACTTCAAGGACCTGTGTAATGGTTATTCCAGGCAAGTTTGGGGTGAGTTGCCGTTGCAATTAGTGTGTAACGGGGACAAAATTGAACATTTTCCAAAATTTTTTGCAAATACTACAAGTTACGAGAAAAATTCGCTCCAGCCCTTATAGACAACCCAATGATAAAGCTCAGGGCTGGGTAACTCCAGCTACATCCTTCTAAAGTTCTATGATTATTGATGAACAACAGATTGTTTCTATGTATGTATTTGCATCATGAACTTTCATTTGGTAGGAAAAGTACAAAATAGAAACTAGGCCTACATAAAGTCTAGTCCGAGTAACTTGGACCTAACTTATCGCCTTTTTTAACATTTGGACATGGTCTAGACTATCGCCAGACCATGTCCAAATGTTAAAAAAGGCGATAAGTTAGGTCCAAGTTACTCGGACTACATAAAGTCATACTCATAATGTTGACTTGTTGTCATAAGGAAACTGCATGCACTTGTCTGTCACTGTCATGACTGTGTCTGTGTAAACAGTTTTCAATGCATGACAACATTTTATCTCTTACGAGAATATTAAGTATTAAACACGGACACACAATGCACATAATGGAACAGTAATATTACCCTGATCTTCCCCAGAACTCCGCTACTTTCGAGGGTTTGGGCCACCAAATCCCTCAGTTCGGTATCTTCGTCGGCAGACATCGTTGAAAATGTTGCGGTTAATGTATAGCGCGCCCTCACTCGACAATTGAAATACCGGCCGGTTTGTCAGTCTGTACCAACGACTGATTCCTGTGCGGCTAGTACAGTCTGAGTTTAAATAAAAGCATCGTGTTCATAATAAATTCACTTATCCACAACCAATAAACACAAACATTGCTGAATAAACTAATTCGTACATTCGTCAGTCATTGAAGAAAAAATTAGGATTTTTCCCTTTTGCTTTGCAATTTTTGCAAACAAACAACGTGTTGCAATTATAATTTCTCTACCTGAAACAGTCGTAGGATATACGACACAAGACACGTCACGAGACAACACAAAAAATACACTGACGTCTCGATCATCACATACATGTCATATGTCATCCGATCCATCGTATTGTATGTACGTGCACGCGACTAGAAATGACATATGGACACTGTAGAGATGTGACCTGCATAATACAGGATTATTTTCTCCTGATTAGTGAGTTCATACACAACAATCGGTTTATAAAGATCAAGTGAGTAGTACCAGCTAGCAACAAGTAGGACAATTTCACAGGAGAAATATGGCTGCGTGGTGGTGGAAACTCGGCCCAGTAAATGTCCTTCTTTGCAGTTTTCTACTGACCGTGTTTTCTGCATCTCCCTATTACAAGCAGGCGCCCTCAACGTCGGACGCCCCGTTAGTTTTGCTTGTCTCCTTTGATGGATTCCGGTGGGATTACTTGGACAGAAACAAGACCCCAAGTTTCGATAGTTTCGTCCGAGACGGGGTCAAAGCCAAGTACCTTTTCGACACGTTCGCGTCCAAGACGTTTCCGAACCACTACACGATTGCGACCGGATTGTACCAAGAATCGCACGGCATTGTGGGGAATAATATGTACAATGTGTCAACAGGAGCCAAGTTTACCCTGCGTCACAAATTCAACTCGTCGTGGTGGGAAGGCGGGGAACCAATCTGGGTGACCAATCAGAATCAAGGGGGTCACAGCGGCCTCATTATGTACCCCGGCATGGAGATCCAAATACGCGGCCAATACCCATCCTACAGACTGCCGAAGTACAATTCTACGTTCCCGTACGAGGAGCGCATCAACATCATGACGAGACTTTTCGCCAACGGCTCGATAAATCTCGGACTATTATATTTCAGGGAACCGGATCACTCCGGCCACATGCTCGGCCCCAACTCACCAGACATGGATGCTGTCATTCAGATGTGCGACGAAACCCTGGGATACCTGATGAAAAAGCTGCGGGATGCAGGCTTGGGGGACAGAGTGGACGTTATCGTCACGTCCGACCACGGGATGACGCCAGTTTCCAAGGACAACTTCACGCAGTTGGATGATTTTGTTGACCCCGAGCTTTACTATTACACAGATAATAATCCTGTGATTGGTATTTGGCCACACAAAGGTGCATACTCAACTTGAAGAATTCATCAAAATGAAAATACATGTTGTAGGCCTATTGCTAATTCTTAGCGGTTGTCTACAATATTGTTTACAATATTGTTGTACAGTACATCAGAAGTGTACAATGTACACTAGTGCTGGCAATTTTCAAATGATTTTATAGTACTCGTTACCAGAGGTGGCAGCAAGTCATTTTTTGCAAGTCCAAGTCAAGTCACAAGTCACTGTTTGCAAGTCCAAGTCAAGTCACAAGTTATTAGGTCCAGTCACAAGTCAAGTCACAAGTCATATGGTCTAAAAACAAGTCAAGTCACAAGTATCTTTGCAAGAACACGTCAAGTTGCACATTATTTTGTCCAGCTGTAATAAGCTAAAAGAATTAACCTGGCGTGAAATTACGAGTTATTTTGAACATGCCTCCTTAATTCCCCTTTTTCAATGTGTTGCAATTACTATTCTTGTAGTTTATCACATATCTGTCGGATATTAGCCCTTTGTATACTTTAATAAATTTACTTTACATTGTAGAAATAAATGTTGAGATGACCGTGAAAAAAAAAAGACTTCCTCACTCGATTACATGTAGTATACTAACACTTTATTGTTCAATTTTCATGTATACTAAACGCCTACCAATGGTTAGGCTATCCGGTATTTTACATGCAATTGACAAAGGCCTGCTTTCTTTTCATGAAAGGTTCCTTTCAAAGTTTGTTCAACCAATACATTAAGCAACAGACAATTGGTCATTGAAAACTGTAGTTTGTTGTGACAGTCTTATTGAAAACTTTTGAAACTAGTGGGAACTATTCATTTTACTGGATTCAGTCACTGAGGTCTATTTTCTGGAATGAAAAAGCTAATTAAAAGTATAATAGCTTAATTAAAGTGTATTGGGTCGCTCAAGTAGCGTCTGACTTGGATTGGTAACAAGTCATTTTTTGCAATCCCAAGTCAAGTCACAAGTCATTGTTTGCAAGTCCAAGTCAAGTCACAAGTCAAAGCTGGTATTTACAAGTCGTGGGCAATTCCACGGTAACGGAAGGACGTTTTCACTCATGAAACAAAATTTCAAATGTGTGTATCACAGACACTGTTCATAGTTACAGCAAACAAATGTCAAAATTGTATTGCTATAATGCTACTTTCATTTTCCACACTTTTGGGGGGCATGAATGCCTCCCGTTTATGAATTATGAATATTAATGAGGTCGGTAACGGAAGGACGGTAAAACGGACAAGGGTTTTCCAACTTACTCGCGTTTTGCGTAAACTCTGTGAATTTTATGGGGCAATTATATTTTAAAGGTAAGAAATGGAATCCCTGAAGCTTTATCTATACTATACCGCCTTTCATTTGACTTTAAGTGTTTCGGTAATATAATTACAACGTTTTAAGCCGATTATGATTTGGTAACGGAAGGACGGTAACGGAAGGACAAAAGGTTTACTCAATTATAGCATGAACAAAATGTGAATTTACACTAATTATACAAGTGAAACAGATTGCTGAAATGTGTAACTGAATGTGAAATCTACAATATGCAGACCTGGCATAAATAATTATACCCAAGAAACTATTGAGATAAAGATAGAAGCCTGCTAATTAATGATAACAAAAGTAAAACGAAAACTACCCAAAACACATAATTCACGAACACAAGACAACTACAGAAATGGACTTCAAACCCATCACCTCAATCCTTAAAAGTTTAAATACACAGTTTTTGAGCACTTGAGTATATTGGTTACATGTTCACCAACAACTTTTAATAATAATACCGGTAGGTTCAGTGGTTTACTTAAAGGGTGGGGGGGGGGGGGGGGGGGCGACCAGCCTACATGTACATTTAAGGTAAAAACATCTACCGGTAGAACTGATGGCTTCAGTTAGGTGTTGCTTTTAATTGAACTCTAAAATCAACGTTTGAAATCAAATTACAATGATTTAGAGTAGTAACAATTAATTTATAAACATCTAAACTGAAATTGTTAACTTGGGCATAATTTGTCAAAGATTGCACCTCACATGTCTTACACATGTAAATTGAATGAAAGTGCCCCAAAGTACCGGCACTTTCTGCCATCTCATTTTTGACTTAATTTGCTTCTGGAATGGCTTCACAGTTAATTCGTATCTTTCTCTATTGTTCATGAATGCTGATGGCAGCAACTTTATGATTTGATTTTCTGCAACAACTCCATACATGTACAAGTACTGGTACATCAGGATATATGTACATGTACATTGTACATGTTGTACATGCCTGTGCCTTCCTTTGTAATAAACACCTTGCCCTGCTTATCCCGCTTTTGTGAAGGTGGGTCACATGAATGTCCTTTCAATGCTCATTATACATGCATGTATTTGCAGTGATTTTCATTTTTCAAACATGAGCGCAAATGTCGTAACATTTGATAAAAATACGATTTGTCCTTCCGTTACCGTCCTTCCGTTACCAATTTGGTAACGGAAGGACATGATTTAATTAATTGTAATTAAAAAACGAGAAGTACAGCAGTGTCAGTTATAATGTCATATTGAAGGCCTACCTAAACTTGCTTTGCACAATAACTTTCATTGCATTCATACTGCAAGTTTTAAAAATAAATTAAAAATATGTATTTTTTCGGTAACGGAAGGACATTTTCGAAGGCTGAAATATTAGGAGTCACTGAAGCGAAGCAAATTACGCAAAACATTAAAAACAAGTTTTAGTCGGTTTTTCAAGACCAATACTTTCTCATGATAGAAACTGATGGCATTAGTACATATTTTTGTGTGTGTTTTGGTAGAATACTTTCATATCACTATTTATCACATTTTTAGGATTAAAACAGGATTATTACATAATCCTATTTTTTGGTACCGAAATGTATAAAAAATTAAATTCTGACTTCAAATCTTGAAAATATAGACTTTTAGCTTTCATTTGATGCCAAATTTGTTTAAGTCACATGTATTTGAATTTTTTGGTGTCATGTCCACTTTGGTGTGGAATTGCCCTCAAGTCACAAGTCACAAAAATAGCGACTCGAGTCCGACTCGAGTCCAAGTCACATAACTCGAGTCAGCAACTCTGCTCGTTACTCAATTATTTCAAAGTGTACTGAACCGATTATTCAACTATTCAATACTTGCGATTCAAGAATCTGCCCTTGCTGGTCAAAAATTGCATACAAAACTTGCTGGTTATAATTTGTATGCGGCATTGCATACAATTATTATTGGCAACTGATTTGCAGTAAGTAGGCCTACTGTATAACTGTCAAGGGACTTAACCCACCTAAATGAATGGGACCACTAAATGGGTATCGACAAAATATTCCCCTCAAGGAAAAGTGGTAGCTGACGAGAAGAAAACAACACAACTGCACAATTGAAATAACATCACAGTCAAAGATGCCACGCAAAAAAAGTCACACACTTGGGCCTAATTCTGCATATATATATTTTTTTTTGTGAAAATTCAAATTGGCAAAAAGCTATTTGAATTGCGGTTGCTGATCAATTATTCGGTATATTCCGGACAGCTCTTGTGGTTTCTGGACGGTTTGAAACTAAACCAGCAGCTTTTGTCATTATTTAACAGCTGGCTATCTCTTTGCCCCCCCCCCACCCCCCAGAAAAGAATCTTGAGCTGATGAAGTTATAGCACTGTAACTTGCATGTATAGTAAATTACAAATTAGGCCTAAAAAAAAAAAAAGTTATGTTGGCGTAACGGGCCAGAAAAAATAGGGTAGGTAGGTCGGTGTTTTTTTTTTTTTTTTTTTTTTTTTTATCCCAGCAACGAAAATGACATTAAGCCGGTAGTAGTACACGATAACAAAAGAAAACAAGGCTCATCATCAACCTTTCCAAAGGTACCTATCAAAAAGCGGAATCCAAAATCAGACAAAATGTTAGCCGTTTCATCTGCATCGACATCTTTAAGACTTTATATGGACCCGATTCTTCCTTTGAAGTTTGTATATTTAGCACGGTGTAAGTTAACCCGCTTTTACACCATCGGCACAGATCTGGGCGATTACCCCCAGCTCTAGACTTAAATTTATCCGCATTAAACGGTCGAAAATGACCGAAAATCCCCATTTGCCCTTGATGGAAACACTGTACGCTTCGGTACCGGGCGCCATGATGCGACGGCGTACGCGCGTTAACCACGGGCGCGGGCCGGGGGCCGGCTGGGTCGCGTCGGCCGCCGGCGTTACATAATAGTTTACAATTTTTAGAATAAATATATATCAATTGTTATCGTGTAAAATAGTGGAAAATTAATTAAAATAATTTATATTATAATGAACTATTTTTTTTTTTAACATGGAATAAATAGCGAAGTATTTTCAATAGTGTATGTAGCAGTTCGCGCCGTGCAACAGTCTCGGACGAGGCTACACGTGTACTGTACATGTACATGTGCATCTATCATGCATGCATGGTGCATCGATCTCCGCACGCGCACTGCCTGTAGGCCTGCGCGATCTTCTGCATGTTCGTTGTGTCATGGAGAGGAAGGTGCACAACATTGTGCACTCCAAAGTTCCACGCGCGCTATCGTCAATGGTCAGAAATGGTTTCAAAACGTATTTAAAATTCATTTCTATAGATTTTAATTATATTTCTTCCCTTCAAAAAAATTAAAAATATCCAGGGTCGGCCGCATTTTTAGGGTCGGTCGGGTTACGCCAACATAACACTTTTTTTTTTTAGGCCTTACTCAAGGAGTAACTGAGTGGACTAAAAGACAAGTGCTACATGTAATGGCTTAAATTCCTTTCTCCTGTATAAAAATATCAAGTGAATGCTAAAAAAAATATGGAATTCTAAAGTTTATTTCATTTACTGTATGAAGCTCAAAATCAAATGTCCAATTGAATGAAAACATGGATCATGCAGTACATGAATTTCCCTATGCAGTTCTCAGCTTTAGTATGTATTTTCTGCCCCTATTAAGTTGGTACAAGTATATATAAAGATGTGCGCTTTTTCAACATTTTCAAGGCGCCACACCAAAAAATCACATATATGCCAACTTTAACAACAAACTTGATGTTTCATTTGATCAATTTTTTCAAAACACAAATTGGTATAAAAATAACAATTTATAATATTTTTGTTTTTAAATAACAATCACACAGAGAGTGACGTTGACGTCATTTACAACAAGCTCCAGGGAGCCAGCCCTCATGTGTCCGTGTACTTAAAGGACGAGATACCGGCGCAGTACCATTACCGTGACAACCCACGCATCGCACCGATTCTGCTGGTTGCTAAGGAGGGCTGGGCAATTCACGTTGGCAACAAAACAGGGAGTGAGTATCCATAATACAGTTCTATCCAAATGTTTCCAACATATATCAAAGTCTCAAGTGTTTGTGTGGATGCCATATTTTATAGGACAAGTCCAGCAGAGCTTTCTGCGGTGGCACCGCGCTCGGGTAGTACGCAGGCTCTCCGGTTTCGACCAATAGGAATACCTCAATGCGAGTGCGCCTCGTCTTTAAGAACGCATGTAACATGCGCGTGAGCATGACACCACCGCAGTACAAGCTTGCATTGTAATTCTGGTCGGCAGATTCCGCTTTAAAGCTACAGTCCATCATTTGCAATTTGTGCATTTTGTTCAGTTGAAGCAACAAAAGAGTTCAAAATCTAATGAAGGATACTGAGCAACTAACCTGATAAAGTTTCAGCTACATGTAAGCTTCAGCTGTACATTCCGAGAAAAACAGCATTCTAAGATCTCAATTTCAAATCAAAAGTTACTGAATCATGTTTTGAATTGCAGCTATACGCGACGTCGCGCACTGATCCGACGAATTATAACAATGGCGCGCGTGTGTGCGTCGTTCCAATACTTGTGCACGCTGCGCTGAATAACAAAACAAACTACTAATTTAAATTTTCCTACGGTGCTTCTTAAGAATCACCGTTGGAAATGCCTTCTTTCGTTGATTACTTCAAAATGACAGCTTCCCAGAAAGAATAATTTCACAGGGAGTTAAGTTCCCTTACTATCTTTCAACCAAGTTTGTTTTTCAACAATAATTACGCCAGTTACTTTTCGGATGGCTGCAAATGATGGACTATAGCTTTAAAAGTAACCCACCCAATTACGGATTAAAGATCACACTGGTACTAAACGTCCTGTGAAATCGTTTTGTCTGCCTTGCTGTCATTTTGAAGAAATAAAGGAGTCGAGGGTATTTCCAATGATCAGTCGATTGACTGATTTTTTTTAGAAATAAAGAGTGCTATAGACGAAATTGTGTTTCATGATCAAATGATTGTGCATAGTTTTTCACTGTTTTCTCAAAAAGGGTAATATTTTCCTACGAAGATGGCGTCCTATGAGAGAGATCTGTTGACAGCATTTTTCATCAATACACAAAGCAAAGTATATGAACAATTCATAAAATATGTGGACAAAAGTGAATAAAACGGACAAAAGTAGCACAGAATACAAAAAATGGCACTGCTCGATCGCGTGTCTTCAGTACTCTTCACAAATCTGAAGACAACATTATTCAAGAAAAAGCTGCTAAAGTCATCTTGATAAATATTTTGATCCCTAGTATGTGTTACATGTATGATTAAAGTAATAATTTGGATTTTGAAAATACGACAATACATTGCATGATCTGCTAAACATGAATAAGACATTACTGCACAAGCTATTCATTGAGGTATCTTGCAGGATCTGCATATGTTTTTATAGAAAACTAAATTAAAAGCACTGTGAATTAAATGATTAACGACTAACTTTACAGCACTATATAATGGTTTACATTGCAAGATATCATTTTGCATCTTACAGTTTACGAACCTATGCATGCACTTGTTATTAAATTTTATGAATTTTCAAAATGCCATTGAGTCAATGGTCCCTAATTAGTCCTTGTTTTTTCCAGTACTGGATGACTATAAATCCCATGACTAGTTCATTATCTCCACGGCAACCTGCCTCTTGGTTACTATGGTAACTAATGCACTGCATAAGGATTGCATCAGTTGCCGTGTTTCTTGCTGCGTGCCTTGCAATACATGAGGCGTGTGCATACATGTACACGCGCGGCCTTGTTTGTATTAATTGGTTCGACGACGTCAATGGAGTAGGGGCTCAGTCAAGACTGTCAAGATCTTTGATGAAAATCATCGGTCTTGGGCCACTGGGCTGGCTTTCCATCATTCACATCGTTATCATGATTATCTATGAAGTTACCAGTACATGTCTGTGGAGAAAAAAAAAACAAATAGAGAAGAGGAATGTACTGATAAATTAACTTATAACAATTTATTGATGTCACCAATGTTGCAAATATGTATACATGTAATTTTTTACATGATGATGGTTAATTATTCAAGAATACCTTAAAGGCAGAATAAAAAAAAAAACATGTTTCTCGTCCGGGTTTTCAAAAAAAAAAAGGAGGAAGCGGGGCTTTTTTTTTTTTTTTTTTTTTTTTTTTCAAGATTGCCGCCATTTAAAAATTTCCTGCAATTGTTGGTGTTTCCACTGTTCAAACACACTTTTATTTAAAATGAAAGATAAGTTGGACAAGAGAACATGTACAACATACTTTGCAAACATCAAAATAAAAAACTGCCAAATTACAATGAAATGCCTTACTTGACTGTAACGTGAATAATATTCTCAAGCATCCTGTCAAATCAAGGCAGCTGGCGTGTTATCATTTTCAAGAACATTGAAATTTTTGTATCAAGTTGGAAAAAAAAAGATTTTTTTCAAAAACTGCCCGTAATCTACCAAATTTAGTTTAGCGCGCAATTTGTTTGCCATTGGTTACACATCTGTGAATTTCCAAAATTCAGTGAGAAATCAGGGTTCCCGGTCACTCTAAAAATCAGGGAGAACTTGGAAATGTTTGTCGGGGACAACTCGGGGAACTTAGGAAACAACACCAACAATCTTGGAAAATTTGGGGAATTTGACAGTGACTCTGAAGGCAAAGGTTTTTGCACTAGTTTGGCGTATGTGCGTCTTGTGCCATGTGTCCAAGGTGCGTCCATTGACTGACTGGCTGTGGTGGCTTTTTGAATAAATGCTTTGCTGCAACCACCTCTTGACTTCCCAGCAACTTCGTTAAATTGAACATATTTCCAGGGTTCCCACAGAAATCTGAAAACCAAATTCCAGGACTTTTCCAGGTCTAAAATATGACAATTTCCATGACATTTAATGCCATTTTGCAGGAGAAAAAGGTATTATGATACAGATGATAGGCTACCCATTTGCTACATGTCAGCATGTAGCTTTTGAAAATAAATTTAAATCAAAAATGGCATCCTTCCCATCAAAATTAACCCTACATGATCTTGATTTCCATGACTTTCCACGACTTTTATATTTTTACAAACATATTTTTCCAAGACCATGGGAACCAGTTTTGTTTTAGATTGGCCAGTTTATTTGAATATGCTTCTTTTTATTATTTTTTATTTCAAATAGGTCATTTTTTGAACTACAAAGGAAACCATGGTTTTAACAACAGCCTGATGTCCATGCATCCAATCTTTGTCGCCCGTGGTCCTTCATTCCGTCAGGGACTACTGGTGGAGCCCTTTGAAAACGTCAACATCTACCCACTTATCTGCAAGATTTTAGGCCTGGAACCCGCACCGAATAACGGCTCGTTGGAAAATGTACGACGGTTTATTCTATTTTTTGGTTGACTATTAAAAATTCTAACCATATGGGCATTTCATCAAACAAGTGCGAGTGCACAATAAGCTCCGGCCGTGTTGCAAGAAGTCATGCATGAAATTCTTGCATGAAATCGATCAAAATGATCCCTGCCAGAGCTAGAAAATGCGACTCAAAAAAATTTGACGCTACCGGTAGTGGCACATATGGAACACCATACTTTTGGTCAATTTTGGGAACAGGCAGACACAGACAGACCGACCGACCACCAAGTGACATGTAGTTCTGCCAGAGCTTAAAAATCCTTTATGTCCATCAACACCCAGTTTTGAATGAGATTTTAATACACAAACATAATTTATCACTTTATTCTTCATATGTGATGCGATCAAGCTACATGAGTTGTTTTTCGACCCTAGTGAAAAAAAAATGTATTACAGATTTGAAAAGAGCACAATCTCAGCATTACTGCTGTGAAAACCGCATGCTGATACCATCTTTAGTTCAAAAATTATGGACATTGGAACACCAAGAGATGCGATGAAGAGATGTGGCCTGTGTCTCCAAATGAAAATTACCGAAAAAATGACTCATTTTAATAGCTTGATCACATCACATATTTTTTTCCAGCTTGGGGTGCTCTTCAGAGCAGTCCAATTTATAGGATTTGGGAAAATTATTTTTGTTAAATGTAGCTTGCAATCTGCAATATAAAGTAGAATGCAGTGCTTTTCAAAATTCTTCACATTATCCTGATTTGTTAAAAGAAAACAAAAATTGAAATGCCTACAAGTAAATCTATCAAGTAAATGTTGATGAATGCAGCAGTAAGTGGCTTAAATGAACACAATGTATTTCATCATGGGTTAGAAAAGGTCCCTCTTGTCAAAAAGTTACTCCGACGCCTTTTGAAACTCTTTAATTTACAAATGTGTTTTGTTTTTTTCATCAAAGGTGCAAGATTTACTGAAATACTCGGAGCTTGTCACAATAATGACAACAAACGAGAAAGGAATCATCACTGAACCGCCTCCTTCAACTTGGTCTACCGGCACTGTCATCGGTATGTATGTCAATATTCGGAAGGAAAACAGACCTTCACTTCTAGAAACAATTACTCGTTTAACCCTAACCTTTCCAACTCTATCAAAATCCATGCTACTGAAACCGGAGATAAACACCGGCCTGATGGGCCACATTGGCTCGTGACAGACTTTACTACTAGGATGATGGTTTATTACTTCAAACCCTCAACCTGTTGCTTTCTAGCAGGAGAAATGGATCCAAGTCCCACCTATAAAGCAAGAGGAAGCTTGTCATTTTATTGGTTAGAATTAACAAAATCATGCTTTCCCCTACCTTGGTCTTGCGCAGGCATCGCAGTAGCCGGAGCCATACTCCTCGTAGCTGCCTGTCTCCTATTGGCCATGTGTGCCAGGCAGCGGTCCTATCGCCAGCAGCCTAGGGAGTACACGCCCATCGCAGATACATCGCTGGAGGGCGTCGACGAGATTGCTGATTCGGGATTCTCCTCCTACAACTATCCCAACACCAAGATCTGAATCTGGAGAAGGGAGAGGAATAATGGAGGTGGGAGTTTAAGGTGGTGTCCACATATGGCTTTCAATTGCTCATACACCTATGGAAGTGGCTAAGTCTACTTTCCATAGACGCATGTGTTACTAGCCGTAGCCGAGTAGTTTGGGTGTAGCCTCAGTTAAATCTTCACAAGTCCGTGATAAAAGTCTTAACCAGTTTGCGCCGGAGGCCGTGATAACACGCGCTGGCTGTTGTACCCAGGCACAGCTGACGGATTAAGACGTCAAGATTGTCTCGAATCGCCTCCGGGTGACGTCTTAACAGGCTAATCCCTCGTGCCTTTTGTATATATACACACACACAACATGTGTTGATCTTCAATTGGCTGCTTGTGCACGGCCTGTTGTTGTACAATTTAAGCTCTAGTACACACCCCGGAGAATTGAAACATATGAGGTTGTGGCAAGAAATATCGTACAAATACTGTTGAAATTACTGTTGCTAATCATTTTTTTGTGGCATTGGCCGCATTTCAGAAGTAGGCTGGAAAATGTTGCCTTTTGCAAAAATCCAAATTTTCGGCAAAACTAATCCCGGCGCAAAGTGGTTAAGTAAAGTGACAAACCATTCAAATGAACTGATACAAATGAGTCATTCCTTGGACGTTCATCCCATCATAATTGTGATTTGACTTGTCACAGAATTGTGTTCAAAGTTCTATTTTATAGAAAAGAGTAAAGTACATAATGAGGGTGAGGATAATGTGGGGAGGGAGACAAAGAAGACAATTTTGGGTCATGTACGGTATCATGTAATTATAAATTTCATGTTCAAGATTAGGCTATCATAACTCAGCCAGTTTTACCAATTGTACAGTTGTTCTTAGAGACATTAAAGTCCAACAATAGGATCTGTACATGTATGTTAGTGCAAACATGTTTTACACATAGTGTCTATGTACAGAAATCTAATTTTATTGCAAGCCGAGTATGTTTTGACATATTTGAGTGTTAGTTTTTGAACGGTTGTGTAATTTAGGTTCACCTTATGTACGCATGTAGAAACTACTTTTAAAATGTTTTTAACAAGTTCGATTTCCACACTCTACTTTTTGATCAGCCTTAGCACAGTAACAGTTAGAATTTACTGATGTGCTGTAAAAGAACGAGGTATGTTGTACATGTAAATTATGCAATTCTGTTGTCTGATTGTTCAGGAGCAACAGTAGGTCATGTGTTTCTTAATATAACCAATTTAATCACAGCAATGATCCTCGATGACGCAACCTGATCTAGGTATAATGCTAGTGCAAAAATCATACTTGCTGCGACATAGACTGATATATGGTACACGATAAGTGTTTGACCTCGTACAGTGAGGTTAATAAGGGAATAAATGTGTGCTCCGGAGGTTTTTATCACTCTGTTTAATACCACTTAGAGTCTGGGTGCTGATAATTACCCGAGCCGGAGGCGAGGGTAATTATCAGCACCCAGACTCTAAGTGGTATTAAAGGGAAAATACAACATTTGCAAACATCAAAAAATAAAACTACCAAATCATTTTGAAATACCTTGCTGGACTGTTAGTGAATGACAGTCTAAAGCATCCTGTAAAATCATGGCACCTGGTATACTGTCATTTTCAAGAAAAGTGGTATTTTTGTATCAATTTCCAACGCTGATCGGCCGATCAGCGTTGGAAAAAACTGGCTTTTTTTCAAATACTGGCCCCAGTTGACCTTTGCACTTGTTTGCAATCGATCACACACCTATAAACGGGTACAAACCGGCTAGACTGGTTCCCTGACCTTACTATTTCCCAATATATGTAAACTGCTCCGTTTCTTCTTAAATGGAGTCAGGGAACCAGACTACAGGAAAATGATTGTTTTTCTTGGTTTTTATAGCATTTTCGAACCCAAAACCTCAAAAAAGTCAGTGTAACTATATTTGCTATATATTTCCAACCCCCCAATTCCATCCATTTCTGAAAATTACAGCAAAAGCAAATGATGTATATTCCCTTTAAACAGAGTGATAAATACCGACGGAGTACATATTTATTCCCATTCATAAATACCTTTTCGGTAAAAAAAATCATATAATTCGTTCAAAACATCTCGATTTTGTTCAACAAATTCACTTTATGCTTTTTGAATCATCCCTCCTGCAAAATAATGGAGTGTTCAGCTGGCGAGTAAGATGAAAACAACCCTTTTATGGAGATTGACGCGCGCGTATCATGTTCTATGCGATGTCGCGCAGAACGCACCTGGCGCGTTTCGTTTTGAATTTAGAACTATAAAATTCTAACTCCCTGGTAGTGTTGCGCATGCCTACGTGAGGATTGTGAACGTTCAACCAATGAAACGATAAGAGGCACTGGATTTTTAGGAGTCCACATTTTATTGTGACACTGGAAAAGTGTTTAAGACCAGCTAGCCATGTCTTTATCATCCGTTTAATACCGGCCACGTGACGGGCTCTCGACCAATAGGAATGGCTAAACTGTCTGAGGTATTTATGAATGTTAGTTATATGTTACATGTACATGTATTTGAATGAGTACGCCTGTAAAAAGTAATCAACTTCGAGTGCTAGAAACATACCAGAAACCGGAGACTTTTTTTTTTTGGCCTAATGCTCCACATTCCTGCAGTGGAAAGAATAATTTCATTCAGTGACAGATGGAACATTGCATCTGTCACCTCATGAAATTATTCTTCCCCGTTGCACTCGCATTCATTATTTGTATAATATCTGATGGTGCCCATTAATAGTGATCCGAAAGATCTGCTGGATTTTGTGAGACAGAGTATTAAAGACTACATTCGCGATTTGGTTTCTGCACATTAGGTGCCTCAGTAATCATATGGTTTATTATATACATGTAGTTGGCTGTCTGCCAATTGCTGCCTTTCAATGCATGGAATTAATGATTTGGAAAGTGCAATATTATGAGCATTAATTTAATTGTATCATGGCTGCCATCATTCTTGGGTTTAACATTGTATGCGGTAAAATAACGTGTCTAGGTTTGAGTGTACTGTTAAACTGTCTGCAAAAAAAAATGTGTTTTCAATATTGTCAGTAGCTGCAAATGCCCAGTCGGGTAAATGTTCTTGATTTTTTTAACCAAGAGTATATACACTGTCCGAGGAGTCTACGATTAAAGTAAATTTATCTCCAATAATTTTTCAGGCGAAGGAAGTGTTTTAATGACTTGGAGCTTACGCCTTATTCAAATTTACATCAAATGTTCAGAAACACTACAAATTCCATACAGAAAATTTCATTGGTGTTTTCGTTTGCAGGTGTATTGGCCAAATCCATTTCTAACCCCTGCAACAAGTAATGCCTAATTTTAAAGGTAGGGTAGATCGTCTATCAGTTGTGAAAATTGTTTCATTTGAAGCAACAAAAGTATGTGCTCAAAATCTCGAGAGGTGCTTAATAACTAACCTGATAAAGTTTTAGCTCAGTGAATTATGTATACTCAAGAAAACATGTACGTGTGGGTGCGTCGTGTCAACACTTTCACAGAATTTTTTTTGCGATAACTAGTCTTTAAACCAAGTAGGCTTTTCAACAACAATTTCGTCAGTTACTTTTTGGATAGCTGCAAATGATCTACTCTACTTTTAAGTGCATTTTTGGATTCTCTGAATGTACGTTGTAATGGTTATTTCCAATTACATTTCTGCTGGTATCCTTTGTCGACTATTGTTTAATTAAAAGAGTGATATACATGTTACCATCTGTTTAACAAACAAAATTTTAACATAGAATTCTATTTAGGTATTAGATTTTAATTGTTGGCATATGTGTAAAATTGTTAAACTTTTATTGGTTTTTAATACATGTATTTAGATTTGTCGTAACAATGTATTTGTGTGCTGTTTTTGTTTTGGAGAATTGACGTGTACCTTTGTTGGTAAAATTAAGATCATAAGGAAGCACGGTCAAGATATGCTGAGATTTGTGAGGGGATAGTTGTTGTTTTTTATCCCACAAAAAGTTCAATGTATTCAAGGTTTTTAAAAAATTGCTTTTCTATTTGCAGGGGAATTGTCCATATAACTTTTTTCTTTGGCATTATTCAATTTAACAATTATATATTGATTTATATTTCCATTTCCAAAAAGCTTTTCAATTTGATATTTCCCAGATCAATACTCTAAAATTATTAGCACCGAGCCCTGTCACCCATACCGGCCCCACAAAATAAAATTTAAAAAAGCGGGGTTTAACATTTCATCATGCTGGCAATTTCTTGTTTGGTAATTAACCTTCTAATTAACAGGGCCCAGGATAATTTACAGTTATTTCCAACAGGATTCTGTAATTAGCATGCAGTACAAGTGGCACGTTGTATTATTTCAATTATTTATTTTCTTTTAATTGAAAGTATGCTTTAGATTTTGATTATACTTCTATATAGCTTTTATTTCCTTTACATGTTATTGTGCCTTACCTATGTGTAATGATGAAATAAAACCAAAGGTCTAAGTGCCAAAGGTCTAAGTGCCAAGTTGTACTGTAGTTTAAAATGATTGTTTTGTTTGAGTGCACCATTTTTGAAAAGGTATGTGCGGTACCACCCACAGGTAGTGCCAGAAAGTCACAGGGGCCCTTGTTTCACTCCCGAAGAATGAGCTGGGGGCACTTAAAAAATACTTGCGACGGGTTGAGGAAAGTGTGGGATGATAATGAGCGATAACGAGGGGCTATGACCCCTCGTTATATTATCTGATGAGCAAGGGAATCCCTTGCAAGGGCCCAGGGGACTCTGAGGGAAGGACATCTGTAACTTGCCAAAAAAAGAATGGGACGGTACATGGACCTTATAATAAACAAGAAGGCCATTTTGGTCTGGTCCCCTGAATGTATTTTATTAATTGGGAACTGTTGAATGGGATGATCCCAGACCATTTATACACTCTAGCCTCGCTTTCATTTTTTGTGGCTTAAAACATTAGGGTATGCTTAATCACAAATTTAAAATTATTCATCAGAGCAGACTGGTAGAAATGTGTAATTAACACTATGTCATTGCTTTCATTTCTCTTCGCAAGTTCCAAAAATGAAGATTTTACCTCACTTTAAATTCAATATGGCCAACTTGTGAATAAGACCCACATTTAGCATTGTGTATAAAACAGTATGCCAGGGCCGAGATTGGGGCAAAATGGAAAATCAACGACAAATCTGCAAGAGGGTTTGAGGATCCCTAAGGTCCCCAGAACCCTTGAAGGTCTACAGTATGATTGTATAATTTGCCTTGAGTCACCTCTGAAAATAATCTGCTTCTTTTCCATGTTTACTTTTATAGGTAAAAACACCTTTACGGACAAAAACAAAATTCCAACATTTTTCACGACTTACCTTCACATGCACACACTCTTGCAACTCTTGAAATGAACAATGGAGAAATTATTGCGCTACTTTCAACAAATACAATGTTTGTTTAATACAAAATTTATATTGCACTACATGTACGTAATTTGTAACACACTTTGGTAGTTGATGTCAATAGGCAAATGGTTTCTACACTCAACTGAAGCCGATTGATACGCAAACTCAGCAAACAGCAGAAAAAAAGCTTGGTAAGCAATTCCTCATTTTGTATTACTAAACATCAAGTGACCTTTTATGATAAAACACTAATACAACATCTATTTTCTGAACAACCTGCTTTCCTTTGAGAGGTTGTTTTACGTATGTACGATGGTTAAGATATCGCGTTTGAGTTCAATATGGCCGACTCGTGAATGAGACCCACAACAGCATTGTGTATAAAACTGAAGATGGTCAGAGCATACTGACCGGAACGTTGAGTTTATACCCCTGGTTCTTTTCAGAACCATTCTCTTAGTTGAGAAATTATTCGCACATGGTGTTTCCGCAAACCTTTCATTATTCATTATTTCTCATTTACAAAGTTTCAAGAAACCTGATGAAGATGTGTCTCCCTGAAACACTAAAAGAGCACTAAACGCACTTGCCAATCTAGATGTACTGCAGCCTAGAATGATGCAAGTGCATGACAAGAGCTTTTTAAACCGGAGACAACTTCCCAACAGTAAATGCACATTGACATGTTTCACACAAAAATTCAAAAGTGTTAATATTTCACTGTCATGATGTAGAGCCAAAGTCAATTCAGGATGATAATTATACGTTAACATCAGGATGATGTCGTTGAAAAAATCATACGTAAATCAGGGACCTTTGCAATTTTCATGTACATTCAGAGAGAAATGGGAAGTGTTAAGAATTGAATTGACAAAAGAATAGTTGACAGGTTTTTTCCCCCCCTCATTGTTCCTTTTCTTCTTTAAAACTACCGCGTCAGATGATTTCTCAGGTAAATGGAACAAATACCACCATTACACCAAGTAACCTTTTTGTCAAGAAAATATGTCAGAACAAAGAATAATAACTTATAGGCCATCAGCCTGGGGGTTTGGTCAGTATCAAATCAGGGCATAAATGATTATAGTGCGCATGCGCAAGGTATACCGCCCCTAGAGTGGTAACAACCATTTTGATGGCCATTTAATTTGGAAAAAAGGGTGACAACACCCAAAAAGCTGCTAACGTTGCAATGCTATCACATATTTTCCAAATCTGGAGGTGTATACCTTGCCAAAAATTGCTACGACGATTATTCCCCTCATTTGATACCGGTGGCCAAAATTTTGGACCGAGGCTGATGGCCTATTACATGTATCATATTTACAACACCAAGCCTACAGATTTACAGATTCTGTCCAATATTATTTCGATACATTTTAACAATGTACATGCCTACGAATACATTTTTAAATAAGTCCCATCTTGGACGCACATTTCTATACATTTACAATGCTAAGTTATTCTACAAAGTGTATAAAATACAGAATAAAATATGCTTCAGCAAAATATGTATTTAAATAATGTATTATTGCATTTAATAATAATTTAAAATTTTACACTTGCATTTATAATCCGACAAATGTATTAACAGTGGTTACAAATTGTGTGACAATTTGTTTCTTTTTTTACAGCTCAAATGCGAATTTACTGTAATTGATATCAAATCCAATTCATCGTTTAAAAATATATAAAACTGACTACATTAGGATACAACTGACACAAAAATACCACATTGCATGTATCATAAAAATCTCTCATGCATCAAATTTGATTGTGCTTTTAATACTACCCATGCAAAAATATGGCCTAGTGGTTAGGGTTCGTGACTCATGATTAGAGGGTCCGGGGTTCGAATCCAGCCGCTGGTCATATATTGTGTCCTTGGGCAAGGCACTTCACCCCCACTTGCCCCTCTCCACCCAGGAGTATAAATTGGTACCGGCATTAGCTGGGGAGTAACCTGCGATGGACTAGCATCCCATCCTGGGGGAGTAGAAATATTCTCAGTCGTTTCATGCTACTGAAACCGGAGATAAACGCCGGCCTGATGAGCCACATTGGCTCGGGACAGACTTGATTTATATTATATTTATGCAAAAATGTATATCTTTATCCTCCATACTGATGCATTGACATTAATTGTGCCAATGACAGTACAGGTTATTAACAGGCATCAGGAATTTATTGCAAAACTGAACATATAATAGGCAAGATATTATATTCCCAGCATAAAAATTGTTCAAGAAAAACCAAGACTGGATTTTAAAAATGCAATTGACTACATGTTTTTTTAACAATTACACAAAAACAGCATTTCAAGTTATGAAAAATATATTCTATTATACATTCAAAATATAATAAAATAATTCAAAATAATATTTTAATGACATTTCATTCAGCCATACCAAAATAAAAAAAAACGACTTGACAGTCACTTGATGTTATTTTACAGGTGGGCAAATTATCATGATGCTGCATCATCTCTGACAACAGAGGGCGCTCTTTCACATTCACTCTACACTCGTGGGGTTTTCTCCACCGCACCTATCGGGCCGATCCCCCTGGTCCCCGGCAGGCATCCCTGCTCCCAGTTGCCCGTCTCCCACAGCAGGAAGTACCACTCCAACCGCTCCTGACCTTTGACCCTGGAGGGCGAGTTGGGGTAACCACCGATGAGGTCGTTGAAACCCCGGCCGACAGTCACCACCACCGCACCGTCCTGGCCTCCCACTTCCTCTACCGCGGCTTCATCTTCCCGCATCCCCGAGGGAGCCCAGAGCTCTGTTGCCACGGGGATGATGTTGCGGACGGGTCCCTCATGGCAGTTGATGACGCAGAGGGGTTTCAGGGAGTGGGGGTCGGCTACGAGAAGGTTGCCGGATGAGACGCCAATGTAGAGGTACTGGCGGAAGAGGGCTAAGGAGGAGACCTGATTCCTAATGGCTGTAATTCCAAAATGAGAAATAAGATGAATTGTGAAAAGAACTTGAAAACAGCTCGGAGATCCCTTCAAGTTGACTTAAAAGTCTTTACTGTCTCATGCCAACGCTTAAAAATCAGTCTCCCTCATACTTCAAACTTGTTCGAATGCCAAAATCCTCTTAAAAGCCAGCAGCCGTTTTCAAGAAACCTTACGCAATGGCACAACTCTGCTTGCGCCAAAATTTATTACGTAAGTTGCGCAACATTTCACTTATGACACATTTCACGAAAGTCGGATAGTGCGCAAGTCCGTGACTCGCGCAAAAATTATGGCGTAACGTGCGCCATCATTTTAGGTGGCGTAAGTTGTGGCATAGCGACTGAAAACGACATATTTTACCAGCAAATCGTGATTGTCGTGGAGTCCGTTATTACACAACTGATCAAGGTCGATACAAGACACTCAAAACCTTATGTTTTAAGCAAATGAATATCTATTTTACTTGTAACATAATTTTTAGAGTTGCCGAACGATTCCGAAGAAAGTCGGACAAAATACTTTTCAAAATGGCGGGCTGAGGTGGTCCAATGACTGTTACGCGAACGAACAACTTCACACACAAACAGCCGTCATAAACGCTGTTTTTATCCTCGTCCAAGATGTTTAAATTACTTAAACAATTGCGCAGTTTCGTGAAATCGATTGTAAGTTTATAGCCCAGCTGTGCAACAAGTTTGTCGGGTAAATCTGCAGGACTTGGTAAAATGGGTGTAAACAATAGCTTATAAAGACATTTGATTACATAAAACCTTCAGAAAATAAAATAAATTATCCTAATATACGCAAAGTTCAATTTTTACACCATGATCTGATGAAAACAATACATAAACTAAAGTGGGCAATAACTTCAACCATTCCACTGCCCTCCAAACTCGACCTTCCCTCTTTAAGGCTCTTTAAGACCAGGTTCCACAAAGGCTTGTACTCACCACTCATCGGTCTGAGGTTTGTCCGGCCGCGTGGCTTGGGATTTGACCGGCATGTAGCCAGGGCTGTGATGACATCCAGAATCCCCTCAATCTTCTTGGACTTCACATTCCACTTGTAAATGAAGGGACCTGCACAATGAAAGCAATACCAATGTTTTGAGATGATCAGACTAAGGATGTGACTTTGGGTTTAACGTTTAGCAAATATTTTAAGAACCGTTTAAATGTTAATAGCCATTTCACATAATAATAATAATAATGAAGATTTATAAGGGCGCCGATATCCGACAAGCAAGACGCTCATGGCGCACAATACATTCAAAACAATTAAAGTATAAATTAAGTTAAATTTGAATAACAGAAATTAGTGACAGAAGTAATAAAGATCAACTCATTAAACACAAAAATGTGAGGTAAACATATGAGTTTTCACAGAAGATTTAAATACAGACAATGATGATGACTGGCGAATTGCAAGGGGTAGATTGTTCCAGAGTTCGGGAGCGGCGCTTGAGAAAGAGCGGTCTCCCCAAGAGTGATTGGCTGACTTGTTCCCATTATGTCCGCAGATCGGCAGGATTGACATGATAAATCAACAATGACTGACAATAAATTGAAGGCAGTCATTGAACAGTAAAAAGTCAATTATGTGTACCTTGAATGTGATCAAGTAGGCCGCTGCGGTGCTTCTAAGGTTTTGCAAATTAACTAGGTTTAAAGACATCTTTAAGTATTTGTGCTATGTATGTTAAACTCAAAGGAACATCTCGTGAACGTAGGTCCCTTTTTGATAATTTGGGTTTAGTTTAAACGTTTGGAAAAGTTGTAAACGAATTTAGAATTGTTCTTATATTATATTGTCCCAGACTTTTCACAGAAACATTATAAAGTTTACCCACAATATCCGAGTAAGTTTCCAACCGATCTTTGAGAGACTGGCTTCGTTCTCTTTTTTTTTTTTGTACCTGGCTGCACGCACGACCAGATGTGATGCAACTTCATCTCCTCCATGATGTCCAGGTCATAGGTCACCAGGCGCGACACTTTGCCCACGCAGTCCAGTGCCTCTTGGTGGTTCAGATCCCTCTTGGTAATGGACAGGTTGCTGGCGTTGACAATGTCGATATTACCTTCAGCCTGGCCGCACCAAATCTCAAAAGATTTGCTAAAAAATATTCAAAAAGTTTAATAAAACAATTTTAGAGACACGTGACCCGATGGGTTCTGGAATGGGACTGTCATCAGGATCAGAATTGGATTGCCCCAATTTCTTTAATATCAGCAGATTCTTGTGAGAATGTCTTGGATTACGAGATTAAAACTCGGAAACTCGAAAAGAAGCCTATAAAAAGCATGATATAGAGTAATACATTTATTGAGTTAACACAACATTAACAGAAACGTGATGAATGCCACCAACCAACATCGGCAAACCCCCTGTGATTGAGAGGCAAGACATCGGCACTAGTGAGCAGGTGCTTGTTGCATCAACTCTCCACTGTATTTATCTTGTAATTTTTTGTCCCCTCACAGACAGCATTGAGTCAATCATGAACTGACTTACTCTCCATTGGCATTGAATGCCGGCACCACAGCCAGCGTGAAAACCTCCCGGCTAAACTCCACGTACTTCAGCATCACCGACTGGCTGGGCAGTCCCCGGTCCTCCGAGACCACGATGATGCGGTGGTCGATTGCTACCACCACCTCCCTCTGGAAACTGATGTGCACCATGGACTTTGGCACCTGCACTTTGCCCAGGCACAGAGGGAGGGTGAACACTGGGCAGAGTTCCTGGTAGGCGTTGTGAATAGCTCTGTGTATTAACCAAAATCAGATGTAAAGATTCCAACTTGTGAATTCTACTCTCATATCCAGAGCTCCCTAGAAATTTGATGCTATGATTGTCACTCAACCAAATCACGTCGGATGACTTTACACACGCAAAGTTTTGCGGTATTCGGAACAGAGGACGGATAAACACGAGGGACGCTGGAAATATCTGTCTGCAACCCGCTTGCAGCGAGCGAGGCCGGAAATATCAGGATGTGATACCCGCAGATGATGGCCTAAACCTTTCTGGCATCGAAATTCATGAAAAAAAATCCCGCACCTGGGTCTCGTCAATGTCAAAATAATCCGCGCGAAGTGGTCAACTACATAGACATCTGCATAATTATTTGGTTGGTCTACTCTAGTAGACTATTTGATAACGGACCCCTTGCATGGTTGCATCGCTGGTTGCCAATAGCCGCTCGCATCTTAATTTGCAGCTGAGAGGCAGGATCCAGAAGTTTCGTGATGGCGTGTCGACCACTGCTTCACTAGAGGCGTTGTACATTTCTATTACTACGTAAGCATAAGTTACATCGCGAGTCAAACACAGGCTGTGCTGGCAAGCTATGGCAACTTGAATGGGTTTTTATGAAAGAGCTCTGCAACGATTGTTGTTTCCCAACCTACAGAGCTACGAGTGTTTCGCAAGAGCAACCTCCCCTTTGTTCCAATAAGGAAATTCCATGCAATGAGAGAATTTGATAGAATTTGTCAAATGAATGTTACTATAGACCCAAACTGGCGAATGCAACAAAGAACTAAAATAATGAACAAAGTGAATGTAGTTGACCACTTCGCGCGGATTATTTTGACATTGACCAGACCAAAGTGAATTTGTCAAATGAATGTTACTATAGACCCAAACAGGAGAATGCACCAAAGAACGAAACAAAATAACGAACAAAGTGAATGGTCAACGGTGCAGGTCCTTTAGTGTGTGACTTAGCTTAGGATACCACAGGCATAGGACTGTAAACTAGGGTTTAACTTTTTCGTAACTGGTCTGAAACCAACTTACCCGTACACAGCAATCGCTCCGGACGTCAGACCAAGCCACATCGTGTCTGCCACAGCACACATACACTCCACACAGCCGCCACTGACGTTGAATTTAACACAGTTGCTGCTGTCTCCCGGACTGCGGTCCACATTCAGGACCAGGACCGAGGCCTCGTCCGGGTTGCCCAGCCCGTTCTTGTCGATGCTCTGGGCCAGCCACACGCAGGGATGGATGGTACCTAGATCACCACTGTCTGTTGTCGGGAAACCAACAAAGATGAAAGTCGTTAGAACACACTTTTATTGTACTCTGCGGACTTTTTTATTATCAAACTGCCAAGAAATAGTACAACAGAATCAACAATGTAAAATCTACTTATATTTATATATGTTTATCCTTTCCTACTGGTACTGGCAAAATAATAATCCCTCTCTTGCTAAGAAACCCCCAAAGCCACTACTGTGCAAGAACCTAATGGCATATTCTCTGTACTTCAACTTTCTAAGGTATGAAGTCCAGTGTAAGTTAATAGGGTTGTATCATCCTAACTCATGTAATATCCTTAAAAACCTCCTTGTGAATTTTGGCAATCTAGGAGGGCGAGGGATAGTTTAGTCCCATTTTTTTCCCCACTAGTGTATAAAAGCACCAATAATTTGCTAAATTTAATTTGTGTGCTGTCTTTAGTTACTGTTTATTTCAGTATTTAATATTTATCTTTATTTTTTATTCCCATTCCTATCTTTTACGTATTTGTTTTGTTTTTGTTTGTTTGGGGTTTTTTTTGAAGTCTTTGTTTTTTAACTGGTTGATGTTTTTCTGCAAGTTTATACTTTTTTTAAATTTTCGATTTCATAATATTAATTTAAAATTTGTTTTTGTTTTGTATTGTTAAATTTAATTTCTGTGCTGTATTTCGTTAGGGTTTATATGTGTCTCTTAATATGTTCTTATTTTTTTATTCACACCACTATATTTTACATATTTGCATTTCTGTTTCTTCATTTTAGTTTTTACTTAATGTTCTTAGTGATTTTACATAATGTTTTTCTTTTATTTCATTTTATTCTTATCATTTTATACAGGGCCCTTAGTAATAGCAGTTCTTAACTGATAAGGCTACCCTGTCTAAATAAAACTATAAATAAAATAAATAAATATTTTACGGACTATTAATACTGACGTCACTCAGGGTCTGATTACCATTTCCGACAACAAAACCTACAAATGAGGAACCAAACATCTTATGACTCACCTGAATCTGTCATGCCATTCATCAGTACCGACGGCGCGCAGGCACACGTCACCTTCTCATTGTCCTGTGGCGACATGATCTCCTTCAGATTGGGAAACTCGGGCATCTGTGCTATGGCGTTGATCTGCTCCATGCTCGGACGGTCGCGGGAGTTTTGGGCCCAGCACCACGCCATCAGGTCTACCATGTACGTCGGATACAGCTTCTCCTACAGGATTCACACAAACAAATGGTTTATTGGTGTTTCCTATTAATAGCTTCAGTTGAAACTCAATTAGCCGATATATTTTTAGATTTCAATATCAAAGCAAAAGTTGTCGCCCGAGAGGAAACTTAAATATTTTAATTATTTACTAATGTACAGACGATGATTTTCTTGTTTTTATTGATTTATTTATTACATTTCTTTACCCAGGGTATGCCCAAACAGTTTAAAAGCGGTTTCTATTGGGGCCCCGCATACACTACAAATGACTACACACATGTACAAATACAATACATTTATACAAATACAATACAGTACAATGAAATAACATAAAAGCATATGGGATTACTACATGATTGTAAAGCAACTATTATAAATATTGTACAACTGTTACAAAGAAACATGTACAGTTTGAAACGACATCACTAACAGACGTTCCTAAAGGCCCAAGGTGAAATAAGTGAACACGACGAATTTGGACATTGAATTGAAGGTTTTTTTTTATTGTTCGTACCATTCTCGCAGTCCGAAGACTGAATTGCGATGGTTTACAATTTACAATTAACAGAAATCATTGAAAAAAAAAAAACATTTATACATATGTTCGACATTAAAGTATTCTAAAAAGACCATTATATTTTTATGCATAATGTTAAAACATAGAAATATTCTAAAAAGACTCTTATACAAACATGTGGATTAAAAAATGTTAAAATGCTACCCATTTCTTGTGACATCGGGAAAATATAATTATATAGGCCTACATTCTCTGATTACTGGAGGGGCGAGAAACCCTTTTGGGGAAAAAACGGGAAAATTCCCATCCCGCTCCATATTATCATGGCAAATGATAGAAGTACCGACTCAATAAAACATTCCAAAAGTGTTCAAAAAGTATTGGGAAGCTCAGACACAAAACCTAGTTTCCCTCTGACGACCAGTGGTGGCAATCGAACCCTTTACCTGCCAACCTAGTACTGCCTACCTTTTTGGTGAGTATAGGACGCTGTCCATCTTTGATCAGTTGTTTGATGATCTCGGACAGACGGCCAAAGTCTTTGCCCACCAGGTTCTCAAAGGGCCGCTGGGCTGACATCAACTCGTACATGAACATGGCAAAGGAGAAGCAATCCACCTAGTTCGATAGAAAACGAGTTTGGAGTTAAAAGGAGCAAGTTGAGGCACCAATATTCAAAGACTAAAGCTGCTTATATGCAGTGTCCAGTTTTCAAAGAACAGAAGAATATAGTCATGTTCCCTAACGTGGCGCACTTCAAAGCTTACCCGACTTTCCTTGTGTTGTGTTGCCAAACCTCTTTGTTGACAAACCTCAAATTCATGCAGTGAAATACTAGTACTTTTACCTTATTAATGCTTGCTATTTAACCTCTGTGAACAATTTCAGTTTCATAAAATTTAATCCGAAATTCAAAAACGGTCCGGAAATTGGGCACAAATTGGCGGAGTGTTCCCTAACGTGGCGCACTTATAAATCTTGGAAAATTCCAAATTAACACTTAAGAATTCCTGTAAACTTGATAAATTCTGATAAATAATTATTATCTCTACTTACATACCCAGCCAGATGTTTGTCAGAAAATTATTTTCTTATTTTTCAGGGCATTTTCAAAGGGTTCACTTTGCACTTGAAAATAAAATCGGAAAATCACACCAAAATAACTTTTCCTTCTAACTTTGTTACGGGTAAATAAACTCGCGATTTATGAACAGGACTGTTTAGGACTTGATGAAATTTCACTTTCTGTGAAATTTCAGTTAAAATTTTGCTCTAGGTAGGCGCTACAGGCGAAAAATCAAAGTGCACCACGTTAGGGGCCGCGCCACGTTAGGGTACATCAACAATACTCTTCATGAGATGAATTTGCGTCGGGATGAAGAATACTTCTTTTGAACAGGTATTCTTGGAAAGATTGCTTTATGTTTATAGCCTAATGTAATAGGTCCCTTCCTGAAAACTGCCCACGAAATATGGTTCACGTAAAGCAAGTGTCTGCAAACAGCTTTGTTTGCAAAAGCGAGTAAGCTGTTTGCAATGAATTACCGCAACTACAATACAGGGCTTCTTGCACCCATAGGAACTGAAATATAGGCAACCTAGCACCGTTTACAAACCTTCTCTGTATATTTCTCCTTGCCATCGTACTGCACAATCTCTGGAGCCATGTATCCAGGTGTTCCTCCATACCCTTTGGTGCCAGACGGCATAGCTGTCACACTGATGCCATAGTCTGCTAGCTTAACCTTTACATCCGAGTCAGCACTGTGAGGGGCAGGCAGGCGCCAGACTAAGACGTTCTCGGCCTTTAGGTCTCGGTAGATGATACCGTTGAAGTGGAGATAGGCTACTGCTGAGGAGACCTTCAATGAATGAGGAGAAAAATAGACAGCAGTTAAGCATTATAAGCATTCATAAACATTATATTCAGGTTTCGCCTGATAAAACTGTACATTAGTACAGTATTATCATTGCTGATAATTTGTTATCTGCAATTCACTTCTCAATCGACAATGATGCAACGAGTATTGAGATCAGGCCTTTGCTACAGTTCATTTGAGAGTGGATTGGCTTGTGATTGACTAGTGTTGACTCGATTACAACTCTGTGACAGGAACATCCTTCAATTTGTGATGCCTCACCTGCACAACAATCTTTTGCAGAGTACAGGGTGTCAACCTTGCCCCGACCCGCTTGTAGTCCTCCAGCTTGGAGTCCAGCGCGCCCTCCGGGGCCAACTCCAAGATCAGGCTCATGGGCTGACGGCAGAAGCCAATCAGAGGCACGATCTGTGGGTGGTCCAGGTTCAGCATGATGGACAGCTCTTTGCGGGCTGTGCGGAGAGCCTCGCAGGAGAAGCGCAGTGGGTCTCGCTGCCACTTGGCGTTCTCCACTTCGTAGCGCCGGCGGACGGTCTGGCCTACCCCCTGGCCTGGCGGGAAGGGCTGAAGCATCTTGATGGCCACCTGCACCTTGGTATCAAGGCTGCCACGGGAGGTTTGGCCTTGGAAGACCAGGCCGAATGTGCCACTGCCTAAGAGGCGGCGTACCTCCAGGGCTGCACGGTTCACCAGCAAGGCTGGGCCTAAGTCATGGAACACCTGTTGTTTCAAAACCATAAATAATCATCACCACCTACACGTGAATTTTATGCAGGATTTCTTATTCTTTACTCAGGATTCTTAGGAACACGGAAGGTTCCTTAGAAAATTTAGTTGATACACTTGTCAAGCACATAGAAGAAACTCAAAATGTTCCAATCCTAAGAACCAAAAAGCTAAAATACTCACCACATCTGGGGCAATGGTGCTCAGCTTGACCCGACCATGGTTCGGGCACGTGACTACCTCCGTTTTCATAGCCTGCATCACCAGCATCTCAAACAGGAACCCATAGACTTGGGCATCTCCCATCATCTCTGGAATCATCTCAACCGAATTGGTGAACTTCAGGTCCAGTTTGACATCAGAGACTTGCTCCGAGAACATCAGGTCTTCAGGAAAGTCAGTTACCAACGGAATATCCAGTTGGCTGTAGGACTCACTCAGATCCGAGGATTTTGAATGGCTGATGACTGCTCGGGTCTTTCTCCCAACTGGGCGAGCACGTGGTCTCAATGAGTTGTTGCGATCTGTGTACTCTGAGAAGTCACTGTAAGCGCCATTATGATCAGTACAGGACAGACCGCAGCACAAGTTGGATCCTCGTTGGCTCCGCTTCCGTGGCACAGGTGTTTCTGGTAAGAGGCTCTGCCGTTGATCCCAGTCAAAGTTTTCGACAAACTCCCACTCTTGTTCGTCCAGCTCATCCACACTGATTTTGTTGTAGTCCCTCCAGCAGCGGTTGCAGGGAACCAGTCTGGTGATGAACAACTCTCCCTGAAAGGTAATGCCAAGAGGCTCACAGATGGAGGGGTAGAAGTTTTCCATCAAGGTGTCAATCAAGTCCATGATGCTAGACAAGAGGCGAGAGGCCACCTGGAGCGAGCTGGCAATCTCAATGTGCTCGCCTTCTAAGGCCTCAATGCCCGACTCCACCGAGTCTTCAATGATTATGGGGGCATTGTCGGCCGTTTGAATGATCTTCAAGGTCTGGTTAGGGATCAGGATTTCTAGCTGCCCGCTGCGAGTCAGGGACACTGCTCGATCTCCACCCGGCTCTTGACCATCAGGATTCACCACCTTGATGAAATCCGGTCGACGGTCTTGCTCAAATACGCTTGTAAGGATGGTCTCCTTGACGATTTCCTTCACGTGGAAGATGGTGGCACCAAAGAAGCGCAGCTCCACACCTGTCTGCCAGACAGTCCACTGGTATTTCGTTTCCAAAGCATCTAGAGCTGCCTGGCTCATCATAACTTTGAGGCGCTCAGGAAGCGGGTAAAGCATTGGTACCATCTTACAGAATGTCTGATCAGACAGGAACCGGCTGATCATATGGGACCAGAAACCACTTGGGATATACTGGAGGATGTACAGCCGTCGAATAGCTGCCTTATGATTCAGAATTGGTATGACTTCCATGTTGTCTAGCTCTGATGTCAACTCCTCAGTCACTTGGACCGACACAACATTCTGGATTCCGTTTAAGGGTATATCACCAGAGCTGTGGCTGAGTGAGTTCAGTGTGGATGATATGCTGCCAGGCTCTGTCGGCATGGATTCCTGGTCTGTTGGGGCTCCAGCGAAGGTCAGGGAACTCGGAGGCGAGGAGCAACAGTTGTTAGCCCGGTGTTGGTTGGGCATCTGCTGGCTGAGGGTGGGCATGGAGGAACTCTCGGCCTTGCTGAGAGAACTTCCAGGGATGTTAAGCCCCAAGGGGTTGCGACGCATGGAGGTGGGGGAGGGGCTGTAATTGCGGTAGTGGTAAGTGCTGGTTGGGGAGGCGCCACGGACCGCTCGTCTGTTCCAGCAGCGGTTTGGAGATGGAGAGCCAGATGATGTAGGAGAGTATGCACGAGCACTTTCCTGTTGTAAAAAGGGAAAACAAATATCAAATAGAAAATAGTTTCCGTCAATCGGGTCTGTGATAATTTACTCTTACATGTATATCATAACATGGCAGCCTTATTTTCAACGTTTACAAATTAATTTGCTCTTGCCCAAGTCTTCATATGAAGAGACTTTCCATAATTTGTTTGAAAAAGCTGCAAGACATACCTTTGAGCTGGCCATTTTCTCCCTGATCAGCGGGATCATGGTCATGTCCAACCCTTCCACAGGCAGTCGAGAGGGGACAAGGATGTGCTCGTTGTCGTAGGTAACTGCAACCTCACACTTGTTGAGCAGATTCAAAATGAAGTTCTTGACACTGGAGTCTTCGAATTTACGATGAAGGTCTTTGATTAGCATCACACCTGGAGAGGGGGAAACAGGTATATAAAGGGGGAACAGGTAAGCAAATTACACCGGAATTACTTGACCTCACTGTGTTTGCTTTTGAGGATCACACGAATAATTAAACTGGCATTCACAGACACTTTTACTTAAAATTAACATTACCTCATCACCGCTAATTAGGCCCAAAAAAAAAAGTTTCCGGTTTCTGGTATGGAGCTTGCCCCAAAAAGTGGTGCGGCGACGCGGCTTTTTTTTCTTTTTACCTGATTTTTTTGCTTCAAATGTCGGCTGATGACTGCAAATGGTGCCCGACTAAACTTAGTGCAAATATATGGGAGTCCAGAGAGGCCACATAAAGCTTATTCTCGATCATAACCCCCTCTAAAAACAAGTTAAAATTGTGCAGCAGCAGGATTCCAGTCAAACCAGTGAGTTTGGCGGTTTTGAGACATCATCTTTCATTGAAAAAAAAACTTTTTCATTTTGCCGACGCGCATGGCTACGGCGACGTGCGCGCATACCAGAAACCGGAGACTTTTTTTTTTTGGCCTTAGGTACATTAGGTCTCTTTTTCGAGTACCACCTCAACTCCCACGGTAGCACACAGTGCCATACTGGCCTGTGCCTGAATTGAGTAATTCATGGCTACAACTTTGGTTTCTGCCTTTGGCGCGCTATGGTAATTTAATGAAGTAGAAGAAGTTGCCCATTTGGGACACAGCCTCAAGCACCCCTCAAAACATCTAGACTGTAATCAACGATGCGGGAAAGAGAGATCCAAGAATGAAGAACTGAATCCCAGGCTGGGAAGTGAGCTTCATTTTCAGCTGCTTCGAGAACGTAATTGCTATTCCACAGGGACTTCACTGCAACTGACCTTTCTTGACGTCCGGGTTGATCTCTGGGATGGTGACAATCTTGGCCAAGGTGTCGCACAGCCACTGTGGGTCCAGAAAGAAGTAATCACTCAGCATGGAATCCTCGTAGTGCAAGAGAATGCCTGGAGTGAAAACAGATATGTTATATCATTAGAACATACATAACGTTAAAAGCATGACAGCAAAACTGTTAGAACATCACCAAGCCAAACCTGTTACTGCCCATACCACTCAAAACCTCCCAAGAACTGCATGCTTTTATGGATTCATCAGGGAATAAAAATATGATGTAATACAATGTAAAACAATGTAATACAATGTAATACAATGTAAAACAATGTAATACAATGTAATACAATGTAATACAATGTAATACAATGAAATACAATGTAATACAAGTGCTAATGGGTTAAGCTGAAATTAGACCAAGCTTGTAAAACCAGTAAAGCAACTGTGCTCGAGTATCAGCTCACTGGCTCAAGTCCACTCATTGGATTAAATTCAAGACGGAAGGGAAGGGGTGCATTCAAAGTTTTAGGTACAAGGGGATTGAGTGGGGCATCAGGAAAAACTGGGGTGGAAAGATAAAAATATCATTCATGAGTTACCATTGTTGTGCAGGAATCGCGTGGCGTGCATCAGGTCTTCTTTGTCATGGAAAGACACCTGAAACTCTTCCAGCATCACTCGAGTCACCTCCGTCCTGAAAATCAGTATGAAAACAAAAAGTCTGTTCTAAAGAAAGAGCACGGAAGAGCATATTTGAAATGCATCAAAGTAACCGTGGCTGCCACAACAAAACCAGCTCTCTGAAAAAAAAATTGCTTAAAACCATATACAGTGGAACGCCGCTATAACGAACATTGCAGAATCCACAGAAAATGTTCGTAATAGTGATTGTTCGGTATAGCGATTTTAAGCTGCTGGTGCTCCGGTACGTACTTTTCAATAAATGGCGCCCTTCATAACTTCACCCTGCACGCCCTGGTAGTTACTGAAAGACAACTTCGAACACATGCCAACTATTGAATTATGTAATTACACAGTTTTGAGCTTACTACCTACATCGATGGGTGGCTTTCCCCTTCTATGCCTTGGGGAAATAATAGCCACTCGTCGCTCTTCTGTTGATGGTTTTCAACACCAATGTTCGGTTGGTTTTGTACACAAAAATCGGGAGCCAAGGATGATGTTCGATATAGCCGAATGTTCGGTAGAGCGGTGTTAGGTATAGCGACGTTCCACTGTACTTTGTTACAACTGAGAGAGTGGTTCTTTCTACTGCAATTCATGATGAGCATGTGATTAATTTGAAGAATGCTTTAACATTTCATTAACGTAAGGCACAAATACGTTAAGACAAAATATTTCAATGCACCTGTACTCCAAGGTATGTAAGACCGGTTCAGTGCCAGCCCTTCTCATCTCAGCTGTGATCTGCATGACAGCCTTCTCCAGAGCAAGGTAAGACGTCGGCACACGCTGCATCAGCATCGGATCTTTGTCCCGACCCTCTGCAAATATACAATAAAATGTGCGGTGAATAAATGATAAGAAAAGCTTCAGAATGTCTCAAAACCTCGGACACTTTTATTCGATTGGAAATGCTCACCCCATGTCACGTTTTAATTGTGTCTCTCATCATGTATGCTATTTATTTATTTATTTTTTTATTTATTTATTTATTCTCTCAGCCAACAGCGAATAACCGCCAATTACAGGCCGAGTAAAAACATATATAACAATAAACATTTATGATAAAATTACATTAAGGATACAAAAATAACACTGAAAAGAATAACATATATATATATCTTAAAAAAAATTTTTTTTTACATGTATATCAAACAGAAAAAGAGGGCTAAAACAAACATCAAAACAACCAAAAACTACAATTACTTATGTTTGTGTACAAACATACGGCTGAACCTTACAATCTCACTCGCAACCAATATCATTTGGTTAAAACCCCAAAACGATTCACAATACCAGAAGTTACCATCTCATAAATGGTAAAACTTCTCACTCCTGAAGGCTCAAACAACAAAAGAATGCATTTACCAAAGAAACAAGAAAAGTCCAAAATGAGATCTTTTGAATCGCAACCGTCTTGTAGTGTGTGCTTTTATTGAACAGGCATGAGCACGAGTAGTCTTGTACAGTCAGAGAATGCATTAAACCTGGGCGGAGTGACCTGATGCCCCTGGGGCATAAAAAAAACCCAATTTTTTGAAAAAAAAAAAATTGAGGGCCAATGACGGTCACCTCCTATCTAATCCTCATTCAACCCTTGCCAAATCAGCTGGTTCAATGAACTTTGCAGCCAGGGCTACACCTAGGCCTCCTGCCAAGTCTCATTGTAACATCAACAAAAGCCTGTAACTTGACACAGCCATCTCCCTTCATAACTGCATACCACAGCCGCCAGTCAATTATCTTTCCAGCGCACTGTCTGGCAACTGTCTGGACACTGTCTGGCACGTGGCTTTTTGTTGTATTGCTATGAATAGGGTCTTGCGTAGTGCGGGAAAGTACCTGCTGCCCAGAGGGCCGCCGTAGACAAGTTGTTGTAAAAAAAAATCTGTAAACGCTGCACAGGGTTAAAAAAAATAGCTGATGATTGGAAAAGGTCTTTACCTGTAAGGGAATATGCGACATCATAAATCCTATCCCTCAGGTATCCCACGTTGTAGCTCTTGGACATGGGCAGGCAGCATATCTCGATGCAATCGATGACGTTAGGAAGACCCACGTCCTGGGGCTGAGCTATCTGGATGAATCGCTCCATGATCTTCCGTTTCAGGTCCGGCCAGTAATCCCGGGAATATTTTGACTTGGGCCGGATGACCAAGTCGTAGTGGGTGCCTATCAGCAGGACTGGCGAATTTGGTGCACGAGCCTGTTAATAGATAACAAGAGAATGACAATTAACAAAGGGAATTCAGAAGAGGGCTGTTTTTTTTTGTTTTCCAGGACGGATCTTATTAGAAACCAAGATGACTGGCGTCAAATGTTTTGATTAATGCCTTCGCACAGGGACTCAAATTTGTTGTAAGCACTTACAAGACAAGTTGCAGACATTAAGCTGCAACATTCTGAACAGCTTCCCCGCAATCTTCCCGCAATGAAGTTATCAGTATTGGTGAGTCAAGCAGTCGCTAACGAAACTTTCCCCGGAACATGTCCGGGACAAATGCAGAGCTTCTTCCGGACAAAGTGAATGATTCTACCCGCAACTTTTCCAGAAATCATCCCGGATATGAATTGAGAAGGGCTCTCAGAAGTACTGTACCTGGATGTTGACCAGCCATTGTTGTATCTGATTAATGCTCCTCATTCCATCGGTGATCTTGAAGAGTACCAAGTAGAGGGAGCGCTTGGTCAGAAAATACTGATGAGTGGCGTAGAATTCCTCCTGTAAACATCAACAAATACAAAACAAATTGAAACAGGGAAATTGTGATGAAGATGACAGAAATTTTGGCAAAAGGGACTGCATGATTTCAAAAAATAACATTCTCCTGAAGACGGTCAGAGCATACTGACCGGAACGTCGAGTTTATACCTCTGGTTCTTTTCAGAACCATTCTCTTAGTTGAGAAATTATTCGCACATGGTGTTTCTGCAACCCTTTCATTATTTAGTATCTCCACCATGCAAAGCCTCAAATCTTACTTAAGTAATAACAGCCCAACAATTAACTTTAGTGGTTCCCATGGTGATTCCATAAACAAGCAAATCCATAAACAGGTGTTGTCCTGGTTACCTGACCACCAAAGTCCCAGGTGCTGAATGTGACTTTTCCATATTTGCTCTTCTTCTTGTTGTACGTCCATTCGCAGACGTCAACTCCGACAGTCGACAGGTACTTGCCTCTCAGCGTCTTCCCGCCGATGCTGGTGTTGCCCTGCCGCTCGGCAAACGTCTAGAAAATAACCATTCCAAACAAACACTATGAACTGATGGCCGGTTCACACAGTATAAAGTACAATTTGGTTCATCATCACGAACTTTGCCTCGTTTGTTGCTTTCACGTGTGGCATCTGTATGGACCAAACTTTATTGAAAAAAAATAATGCAAGTAAAACTTGCGCGATCCCCCTGGCAGTTTGTATACAGTCAGTTGGTAAGGACAAATTTCAGTGTACCTAACCGAAATGGAATCACTATACAGTCCACAACTGTGAAGCTATAAAGGGGCCATTTACTTACAAAACAATAACTTTCACGACACTAGAGAACAGGCATGCAACTGGGAAATCACCAAAAAAAAGAGGAAATTCAAATTTTTCCCAGACTTTGTACAGTGTTTTTCTATTTTCAATGGCACACATGGGAAGCAAAAACAAAAGGAAATCAGCTGATCCGAGGAAAAGTTGCATGCCTGAGAGAAACAAAGTGACATTACTCATGGGCTACCTAGGACCAAGGCCTGTAGAATAGCCCTGGAGGTCATGACCTGTTGCCCAAGTCTAATCACTTTACCAGATATACATGTACCATGAACAATAACCGCATGTCAAGTTTGGTTGAGGTTGATGACTGAACTTACACTATTCATAAGATGGAACTTACAGCGAACCTAATCCAAATGGAACAGGCACACTTTTTATACACACAGACACACCGAAGAAAAATATGCTATCGCAATATCCCCCTCCGGCTTACAGCCAGGGAGATAACAAGAAGTCACGATGAGTCCATCAAAAGTCCGGTCACAAGTAAACAGGGGATGAGCAATAACAAAGAAATGCCTGGGTCAGAGTTCATCTGAATAGCTGGTGTATTGACTGGGGACTGGTTGACTTGTATAATGAACTTGTTTACAGGCATTACATTCACTGTGTGGACCTCCCAACAACAAAAAAGTCCACATAAACCAGTTTTCAGATACGATGTGTGGACTTGCCCACGTCCACACAAGGTTCCCCCTCTCTGGAAAACAGGTTTAGAGGCATTTTTGGGTTAGGGTTATCTGTCAGAAAATGAAGCGAAACACTCAAGGAAATCGTAGTAAGTAATGTGGGTTGAAAGAGTTTTCAGAGTGTGAGTAAAATGAGTTTTTTCCCCCGTATTTTCTTAACTACATGAAAACAAAGGAATGTCCACAGTAAGTGTGTAAGGTAAACAGGCGTGAGGATTGTGTGTGATAAGCCAGCCCACACGTACAACAGTGGCCACGATGGTTTCCTTCAAAAGGTCATGTCTATCCTCAGGAACCAAAAGGAAAACAAAGATGCAATTTTGAAAATGTAAACACGGGCTACTGGGTAAAAAAAATGCAATTTTTTGGAATAGTCTGTCCAAGTTCTAACCTCAGGTGTTGATGTTGAGCCAGCACCATCCTTCCTCAGCTCATTCAGGAGTGTTGTCTTGCCAATACAAGCCTTGCCCACGAACATCAGCTTCATTCTTGTGTATGGCTTGGCACTGGGGAAAATAATCAAACATTTAAAGGGAATATATACAACATTTGCAAACATCGAAAAATAAACCTACCAAGTTTTTACGAAATACCTTACTAGGATGTTGGTAAATGACAGTCTAAAGCATCCTGTAAAATTTGGGCACCTGGTGTCAAGTCATTTTCAAGAAAATGGTATTTTTGTATACATTTCCAACGGTGGTCGGCCGACCACCGTTGGAAAAACCTAACTATTTTTCAACTACAGCTCCAAATTTACAATTTTTTTCAGTCCAAATTTTGTTTGCTATTGGTTACATGTGCTTGAACGGGTGCAGGCCAGCTAGACTGGTTCCCTTACCTTGCAATTTTCCGACATCTATAAATTTATCCATTTTATCTTTAGTGGAGTCAGGGAACCAGACTACTTAAACATTTTTGTTTTTCTTGGGTTTTTCAAGCATTTTCGAACACAAAACTTCAAACATGTCAGTTAAACACTATTTGATCTATTATACTAACGGTAACTCAAGGTTGGACCCTGAGGTTCCCTGTAAAACCTTCAAGTAAACCTCGGGTTACTGCCTGTTTAATTTTGTATTTTCCCCTAACAATATGTCAAGCACAAAATGTTAAATGCTATACTGTGATCATAATGAAGTTTGAAATCCACATTTAAATTTACATAACAAGAATAAGAAGGTTTAAAGAAGAAAAAAATGTCTCACTTGGATGGTCATAATATGAATAAAAACAACTTCTGGCATGTCTGGAGTAATAAGCAATACCTGGTTCTTACATGAAAAGTTTTGACAAAAAAAGAGCACAATGAAAATAATTGAACAAAATAACAATGAAAAAATAACTATTATTAAAACATAGTCACGGGTTTTATGGGTAGGTTTACTCTTTCCGTTTGATGCAAATAGTGTCTTGCACAGAAAACAAAACAAAACAAAAGAAACAAAACACCATTTTCATGTGACCAAGCAAAAAAAACAAAACAAACAAACTGCAAAGTGAAAGTGACATTTACGGATAAAAGAATGTGTTTCCTACATGTATTTTGACAGGAAAACAACTGGGAAATGAACCATGTGTTGACATGTTTTGTGATTTATTCTGGTTTCTCTTTGAGATGTTTTTGTAATGTTCATTTTAGTAACCGTGAATACAAATTTCCACAAGTCATGGGATTTAAATCCGGATTTTTTAACATTCGGTTTGCATTCCACAATTCGGTTTCGCTTTTGGAAACCAGATATTTGAAACCAACCTTCAAAGCCTTCAATTTTTAATGACACAGGCTAAAGAAAACAACTGGAACATCCCATAATTTGCTCCATAGTCTCAGATTCACTTGCTAGTGTTCTTCTTAATAGCCTGCCCATTTGACTGTTAAGAAAGTCCCATCCTTTTTTTGCAACTTTACGGCTCTCGAGTGTTTTTTTGTGAAGGTTCAGTGGTCATTGAATCCTGCAAACTATACCAAATCTTTGTGGAGGGCGTTGCATGCAGCACCTCACTCCTCACTTTTTGTTGGCATGACTGTGAGCTGGATGGGAACTTCCAATGAAATCAGATAACCATTATTTGGTTTGAAAGCAAAACCGAATTTTGAAATCTCTGATTTCTCCGGCCACTAATGACTACTCATGTAAAACAGAAGCATGCACTCAATCTGTGCTGACTTACGGAGTGAACAAACTTGGCTGCCATAATAATAAGGAGCCGGATGGGAATTTTCCCGTTTTTTCCCCTCTCAAAAGGGTTTTTCACAGGTTTTTCGCCCCTCCCAACAAATGTATAGAAATACATTTTCCCGATGTCACAAGAAATGTCCAAATTTTTCGTGTTCATTTAATTCACCTTAGGCCTTCAGAAAAATCTGTTAGCGATGTCGTTTCAAACTGCACATGTTTCTTTGTAATAGATGTACAATATTTATAACAGTTGCTTTACAATCATGCAATAATCCCATATGCTTTTATGTTATTTCATTGTGTTGTATTGTATTTGTAACGTATTGTATTTGTACGTGTGTAGTCATTTGTAGCCTATGCAGGGCCCCAATGGAAACCAGTTTTAAACTGTTTGGGCATACCCTGGGTAAAGAAATGTAATAAATAAATAAATAAATAAGGCATGTTATGATTATAGTCGTGCTGTTGCTGTTGTCGGGAGACTTTAGCCTGATGCTGAATGACCATTCAGCTATTGCAAATTATAATACCTCACACACAGATTCTATGTCTTGATTGGCCGAGAGCGAGTCACATGGTACTTTCTATTTCTGCTATATTTCTGGGCACAGACAAAAGTACTACATGTATACCCGTAGCAACCAAAGTACTATACCATTAGCAACCAAAGTACTATTCCACGGTGCGGTATTTGTGTGCAAACGCATGCTGGTGTGCGCGTTGTTCCCAAGAGCCAGCGCCACAGAGTTGGGTACAAACATTTCGTGAAGGGGTGGTTTGGATGAGAGAAATACATTTTCCATCAATTTTGTATTAAAATAGAAATTAAATGGAACTGTATTGAGATTTAAATAAAGCTAAAATATTAAAACCAACCAGAAGCTGTGGAAGAGGTGTTATAAAACAAATATTGACTGCTTTATCTCGTGGTGTAGTAAAACTAGTCTCTCTTGGTGATCCATGGCGCATTCTTCGCCTCGGGAAAATAGAATGTCCATGGATCACCTCTGGAGGCTGGTTTTACTACACCACTCGAAGCATTCAATATTTGATACTATTTAATTTACTTCACCACTCGAAGCATTCAATATTTGTATACTATTTCATTTACTTCACCACTCGAAGCATTCAATATTTGATACTATTTCATTTACTTCACCACTCAAAGCATTCAATATTTGTAAACTATTTCATTTACTTCACCACTCGAAGCATTCAATATTTGTATACTATTTCATTTACTTCACCACTCGAAGCCTTCAATATTTGCATACTATTTCATTTACTTCACCACTTGAAGCATTCAATATTTGTATACTATTTCATTTACTTCACCACTCGAAGCATTCAATATTTGTATACTATTTCATTTACTTCACCACTCGAAGCATTCAATATTTGTATACTATTTCAACTGTCAAAACTACTCACTCATCCAGAATGGAGCGTAGGTATCCCAGTACATCCTTGACCAGCTCTGTCTTGAACATGCTGGCTAGGGGTTCCGTCAGTCGGCAGCCGTCAACCTTCAAGTCATACATGTTGAGGCGTCCTAGCTCTGGTGGCAGGGTGGAGATTCTCTCATTGCCATTGAGCTAAGGTGAAAGACAAAAAAAGTCGTCGTCTGAAAAGTTATCTTGATTTAGAATGATTTTTATCATCATATTTATCGTGAGGCCAAAAAAAATTTTTTTTCGGTCTCTGGTCAGACCAAAGTTCCGGAATTGACGCGGCGACGTGGCTTTTTTTTTTTTCTTCAAGCTTGGATTGTACAGACAAGGTGGGGTACTACCGGTATTTTGCTTTTTTGGTGTCCTCATGTACATTGGTGTCCTCCATAATTGCCTTGGGGCTTTCGATCATTTGCCTTGGTGCAATTTCGCATTCCTTGGTGCTCTTTGGTAAAAAAAATTGAGGAGGTGCGGTAATAGAGGGCGCTGTTGGAGCAGAACATTTTGGAAAAAAAAAAGATTGACGCGCATGATTAAAATCGATGCACACGCTGACCAGTGACCGACTTATTTTTTTTTTTGGCCTAATACCTGTTTTTTTTTTATCTATTTATCTGTTTCTTTAACATAGTTTCATTCTTGAGTAAAACACAAATCTAATAGGATTATTTTAAAACATAATTTATTTAACTTCCACTTTACAACAAATTTTTTTTTCTCATAGAAATTATATTCACTGAAACAATAGAGAACCGAAGTGTGACGTCATTCAGAATCAAAAAGTGTAGTGGGAATGAATCGAATACACGCGCGTGTTTGTTCGCGAGCTGAATCACACGCTAATGTCTTTTACACACACATTGTGTGCATGATGTATTCACTTCGGTGCTCTATAAACATCGCACCAAAAAAGTAAGTACCGTGCTATAAACATCATCCCTAGAGTAACTCCATCAACACTTGTCCTTCAATTTTAAAATAGGTTTTGTGAGATTCACTATAATTTACTGATAAAATAACGTACACGTAATTCAATTATCAACACAAACCTTGAGACTGGAGAGTTTAGTGAGATACTGTATGTCTGTTGGGACCTCTCCGATCATGTTATTGGCGACGGACAGAGCGTTGAGACTGGGGAATAGAAGAGTGACTTCCAAGTCACTGCCTCTGCTCTGTAAAGGCTGAGGCTGTGAGTAGAACAGAATAAAATAATTTTTAAAGATGTCGGCACAGCATTTTCAGATACATGTAGCACATATCCCTTTTATTTCATTTTTTTATTCTTAATTTGAAATCACACCAGTGGGTTTCCTTCTCTTTTCCTGTGAAGAAAACACGATTTTGGCAAACACGTACCATCTGCTTTACGGTACATACTGGTCAAATGTAGAGTTCTATTTAAGCTGATACCTTTCATAACAAAATCTGGATTGCAATAGACAGCATGTGAATTTGAGGACTTTGTATTACATCAAGTTTATGTTTTGAAAAGGTCTTAACAGAGGCCAAGATTTCAATTCTAGTTTAAGCAAACCAATTTATTACCTTTGAATCCTCTTCGCTGGAATCTCCTGGTGTTCCTGGGGTCTCTTCTTCAACAGACATACTCATTCCCAAAACTGTTCTGGCAATCACATCCATCTGAGCGATCTGGTTACTTGACAGATCTAAAGTTCTCAAGGTGGCCAACAAGCGGTGACGCCGGTGTTTGCAGAACTGCACCACGGGGCTAAGCAGACTCGGAGAATTTGGTGAGCCGCAGACGAGAGAGGAATCTCGGCTCAGGCGACTTGAAGCCTGCGGAAGACCCTGCTCAGCTAACAATTGCTGAGACTTGGTGCTGTAGCACATGTCTGGCATGCCTATGGAGGGGTCATAAGCAGAACTGGAGCGCAGGAGTCTAAAGACATTAGATTTGTTCCGGACAGGTAGGTGGCCAGCTGGATTGCTCATGTCTTTGATTCGGTTGAATGACAGCTCCAGATCCATTAAACCCACGGGATACTTATTCATGGGACCAAAGTCTGTGATCTTGTTGTGGGAAAGTACAAGCTTTGTGAGTCTAGGAGCCAGACACGGCAACCCAAGAGGGACGTGAGTTAGTTTGTTGTAAGACAAGTCTAGTGTTTCCAGGGTGTTCATCTCATCAATGTTGGCATTTTCCTCTTCAGCACTATCTCCATGAATGCTTCCAGTGCTGCATAGTCTAAAGCGACGCACAGTAACAAAAGAGTAGCCTTTTTCCGAATGCTCTCCATCATCAAAGACCTCCGAGTCTGAGGATTCAGTTGACTCACTAGGTGAGTTACCGCAGACATCCAGGCGTGCAAGACTCGCCTCAAGTCCAGACATGCTGACAACCATGTTGCTGGAATCTCGGGAGAGGTCCTTCATCCTCAAGGCTGCCTTGCCAAATTTAAGGGCTGCCTCAGACCAACGGGCAATCTTTCCCGATGCTGGCTTCTCTGACTCCCTTGACAGCAAAGGGAAGGTGTCCCGTTTCTGAGCTACTGTCAGGTCCTCGTCCAAAAGTGAGGGGCTCCTGCGCTCAAACTCTCGAAAGGTCGTCGGAGTGTAATGATGAGATGAGCTGTAAAGTACACAAGGCAGGTCTTTTAGAACATTCCTAGACAAGTTGAGCATCTTCAGCTTCGGAGCCATCCACATCCCAAATGGCAACTCCCTCAGGTGGTTGTTCTCCATGTTCAGATAGTCCAAGACTGGCAGCATGAAGATCTGTAGGGGCAGTGTGACCAAACGGTTGTGGGAGAGATTAATCCTTTGGAGCATTGGTGCGTCCCAGGTCATGTCCACCTCTATCGTTTGGAAAGTCCTGGTTGTTGGACTAGTACTTCTTGCCATCCCTGGAAGATAGGACAACTTGTTCTTGGATGCATTGAGCTGCTGCAAGGATGGCAGTTTGAAAAGGAACAGAGGCAAGTGGCTCAAACAGTTGTCAGATATGTCGATCCTTGTTACAGTAGCAACAGCAACATGAATGCCAGAATCCAGTGGATATGTTCTCAGCATGCTGTTGAATCGAAGACCCGCCTCCACCAACCACTCTGGATCAATGTCATTCAGATTCTGATCATGCCAATCAATTGCGATGGGTGTGTCAAACATTCCGTGTGTACTTCCTAACCTCCTGAGACCGCCAATAGTTCTGCGGCGATCGTAGGTGCTACCTTTCCGAGTGTGGTCCTTCTTTGTTTCCTGCACAAAGACCCGGGATCGTGCAATCAGCGCTACCTCCCGAACAGTTTTGGGCTTGAATTGACCATCTCCATCCGAGACATGGGTCAACTCTGTCACAAACAACTTGAATTTATTCTGGTACTCCTCCCCAATGATATAATCAGGGTCCGGATGCACCCCAGTGTGTGCTAGGATCGTGGTCACCACATCATTCCGAACGCTGAGGGTTGCACAGAGCAGGGCCTTGCCGCTTGGATCCCGTGCACCGTGCTTGAGAAGCATCGCGATGATGTCCAAGTTATATTCACATATGCTGCATGCCTCGCACAGGATGGAATTGTCTTCTTTGGGGATGTGCATCTTCTCAGTCACCCGGCCTTCTATGAGGCTTGCGTTGCTGCCCCGCGACCCAAAGAGGCACTTGATTGATTTTACGGGCAGATTTACGTCCGCCCCATGCTTCAGCAGCAACGAGACAATCTCAATGTTGCCGGCTAAGACAGCGCTGTGAAGCGGAGTCCGACCAATCACAGTATAGCAGTCGACGTCGATGTAAGCCTGCTTCTTTCCATGGCCAAAGTTTGGTACGACACAGCCAGCGGGCTGGTATTCCAACAGGGCTCTGGCCACTTCAACATGACCGGCAGTGCATGCCAGATAGAGGGCAGTTTGGCCGTTGATATTTCGCAGGTTGAGATAGAATGGTAAATCACCTTTGTAGGACTTAAAGGTGCTTGTCGCTGCTGACTGATCCAGCTGGCAGAATCCCTTTAATAAAGTAAATAAAGATAATGGTATGAACAAAAGCATATATCAGAGCAAAAGCTTGCGTTATAGTTTCTTTCAACTATAAGCCTAATTTCATGAAGTTGTTAAACAGTTAAAAAAAAAGCTGTACGTTGCCCTCAAACTTTAATCTCGAGTACTAAAAAAATAAAGATCATACTGTATGACCAAATGTTGACTTTATGTACATGTATGATTTCATAATAGGCTTTGTACACTAATTTCACATCCACAATAATGAAATTATTAAGCAAATCTATGTTGACCAGCTTTCACAAATCACAGTTCATAAAGCTTTTGGTATTGAGCGGAAATAGTATTGCGTAAGTAACTGCCGAGTTACTGCAATATGGAGCTTTGAAATGTTGAAGAAATGTTGCAAGCTGCATTGCTGACACGTCTGCAATGATACACATGTGCATTGTAATTTCTCTCACATTTTTCATGTATCCGGTACATGTGGATTCACATGAACTAACACAGCAGCAAGGTCTCACCAACATTGACCCAAATTACATGTACATGTATGAATTTATGTGATTTTCACAAGGTAAACAAAAGCACGATTTGAATTTGAGCTTTTATGAGCTTGAAACAATAACCACAGCACATGTACACAAGCCATTTCGGCATTCCAACTGTACAAGTGCACATCAAGATTTTTCTTTTAGGATAAACATTTCATCATATGCATGCAAAAGCAAAGCCGGGCACCAGCAAAATTGAAGAGATCCTCGTGTTCTGAAGTAACATGTTGCCAAAAAAGTTTGGACAGCGAAGTGTTTTAGGTACGTGTCTTGTGTGTCCAAACTTTTGTACGAAAGAAAGTTTCCATCTCTTTTCGATTGCATGAAAAATTACAATGTACACAGAGCGCAGATTCGGTTATCAAATCCCCATAGCCTTGTGTGCATTTATGTGCCGTGTTTATCCCCCCCCCCCCAAAAAAAATACAAAATTGTTGAATCTTGTTGTGCACCAGACTATTTTGGAATACCGAAATGGCTGAGTTGTATGGTGTTACTGCTAGCTACATGTACATGTAAGTGCACACAGCCCCAATGTAAAGATTTAGCTGGTCTTACAAGGATTTTACATCGGATAACGTTTCTATCAATGGGTTAATGCAACACTTCCCCCAGCAGGAAAGCCAAGGCAGTTCGGCACAGTATTAGGAAGGGCAGCCTACATGAATCAGGGGCTAAATTTAGCCACAAGGCCAGCTGGGATCTTGGTGCTGAGTGGTGCTTGGGAATTAGACTGGGACGGCAAATCTTGGTTACAAACAGACGACTACATACATGTACACATCTTACAAAGAGGTCCACGGAAAGAATGTAGTATCCAGACGCCACTTCAGCGGTTGTGTACAAAGTCTATGGAGAGTCCTAGTATTTCCTTACAAAATTGGAAATGTTTCTAGTCCCAGATTCATGTCTTTTCAACATTTTTGCAATGACTGACCTTTATTGAGATGATATATGAAGAAAAAGGTGGCGTCAGGTTGCAACTTTCTTTCCAAGTCCACTTTGAAATGTATTTATCAGAAACGAAAGTACCGGTACATATAAAATGGACAATACAGGGATACATGTATGACCTGCATCTATTTAAAAAACAAAAAATGATACTCAAGGTGTGAAGACTGTAATGTTACATTTGACAGATAATTTTAATTGTTGTCAGCGGCACTGGAGGAATACACCTACATTTAAAACATTTCACCAAATATTTGCCGAAAAAACTTGAAGAAGCCATTTTTATGATGGTGCCATGCTCGGCACATGACACAGATGAGGCGTGCACATTTTGGTAACCCTATTGGTCGAGGGATCCCTGGGTACGTGCGTACAACCTGAACATGACTCGTGCGAGCCTGGTGCCACTGCAGCAAATGGTGTCGCCATATTAGTCTATTGGTTTGACATACATGTAATAACGGCAAGCTGCCCTGAGATGGATAATGCGTGTGCGTGATGGGGACGTTGCGTAGATGAATTGAAAGAGAAAGCGCAGTGGCAAATGTTGGCAACTTGAATGACTCTTTTGTAATTCATATACTTTTACAGTCTGTTTAGACACACGGTGGTGTCTGTTACTACCTAGCAAGCGAAGCCTTGTTTCTTTCGGACACGGCAAATCTATGCAAGAAGCGATTGTAAATGCATGGACACAAGCACTGAAGTAAAAACAAGATGAGGGGAGCCTACATGTACAACTACCATCTAAGCACAGCAAGACATGAATGTATCTACAGTGGAACGCCGCTATAACAAACATCGCGGGATCCACAGAAATTGTTCCTAACAGCGATCGTTTGATATAGTGATTTTAAGCTGCTGGTGCTCCGGTTCTCACTTTTCAATAAAAATAGCACCCTTCAGACCTTCACCCTGCAAGCCCTTGTATACTGAAAGACAACTTTGAACACGTGCCGACTATTGAATCATGCAATTACACAGTTTTGGAGCTTACTACATGTACATGTGCATGTACCTACAGCAAGGGATGGCTTTCCCTTTCTATTCCTTGGGGAAATAATAGCCACTTGTCGCTCTTCTGTTGACATATTTGAACAACAATGTTTGGTACGTTTTGTACACAAAAATCGGGAGCCAAGGATGATGTTCGGTACAGCAAAATGTTCCGTATAGCCGCGTTCGGTATAGCGACGTTCCACTGCACCATACATGCCATATAAGCACAGCAGTACCCGTACATGAATGTATTTATTCCTTTGATAGCAAACAGAACAGGATTCCTGAGTCTGCATTAGTAACCAAAGGCCCTTTTCCGAGTCCTTACTGAAATCATTCATAATTAAAAGTAAAAAGCAGTGGTTTCTGTCCACTGTTGTCAAAGCTTTGTGCCGTGGGTTATTACGGAAACTTTGTAAAGTGTTCAATCATTCCTCACAACTTTCCTGACCTAAAAATCATCGGCCATGTTAGAGATTTTAAACAGCAAATTTCCTCTCATTTGATTGGACAACAGGAATCCTGTAACTGATGCTCATCACTGCAGCTTCCAAGAGTATGTCAGCAAAACAAAATTGTCTCACTTTTTCACTGACTGGAGCCTTGTAGGTAAATTCTTGCAGTAAAATGAAGAAAGGCGTGCGTCCCTGTCGCAACTAAATTTTAAGAAAGGTCTTGAGAACTTCGCCAACCCTCTAAAGGTCATGTCTATTTCTTGCACAAAAGAGCCAGGATCATGAGTTTCTTTTCACATTTGAACTGCTTTTGAGAAAATGTACCACAAAATGGAATCGTACTTACAAAGAAAGTGTTTGACTGATGTTTCAGGATGCTGGAAACACCATTACAATGAACAGAAATTTGAAATCGGCCAAGTTCAGTTGATTTTAGTTTTTCTGTTAGATGAAAATGTTATATTCTGGACAAAAAATCAATGTGAAAATTGGGCAATCCTGTCTTTTGGACTTGGCTTATTTAGCATAAATTCAAATATTAGGCATGCAATGCAGTACACTTTCAACATATTGACGGTAATATTTGGCAATAAACTACATGTGTAGTTACATGCACTTGTAACAATGCATCAACTACCAAAACCTGGCAGGCATCAAAGAAATACCACAATGAGTGTTTTTTTTTTTTAATTTTAATTTTTTTTAATATCTCTAGTGTAAAATGAAAAAGCTCAGTTTTGTTTTGCCTCATTCACGCTCACATGGAAGGTTACGAAATGCTGTACTCTCGGTTTCACAACTGATGCAGTATTGTGAGCAAATTTTGTGGAGTTTTAGAAGCAAAAGAAAACACACAACTAATACACCCGCGGTCTTACTTTCTCATCCAACGCCGACTTGTAATCAAACTCCAGGAGCAGTTTAATGATGCCTGCGTTGCCTTGCTTGGCAGCAGCGTGCAGTGGGATCTCCATCTCATTGGTCTGATCGCTGGCCATGGCTGGAAAATGCTGGCATTAAAATGAGGAAATAATTTGGTGAACATATAGGCATGACATATGTAACTTTGGCAAAATTCTAAAGTTCAGGGAAGCAGTAAGTAATAGTGCCGCAAATTCCCAAAAGTTAGTAATGAAAAAAACAACACAAAAACAGACAGACATTGACAGAAAATTTGAAAATACAATTAACCAGTTCGCGTCGGAGGACATGATCTGATGATAGCCTGCACTGGCTGTTTTTAAACACAGACACGGCTGACGGATTAAGACATCAAGATTGCCTCGACCATGCCTCGACTCGCCTCCGGGTGACGTCTAAACACGCTTATCCCTCATGCCTTTTGTACACACACACACAGTCCGTCAAGTCTGTGTTGGTCTTGAATTGCCCGTTGTGCAAGGTCTACTGTTGTACAATTTACGCTACAGTGCACACCACAGAGTATTGAAACAAATGAGGTTTCGGCAATAAATATCGCACAAATACTGTTAAAAGGACTCTTTAAATCAGTATTTGTGGCAAGTTTGGCTGTATATCAGAAGTTGGCTGGACAATTTTGCCTTTTGCCAAAATCAAATTTTTCGGTAAAAACAATCCCGGCGCGAAGTGGTTAAAAAAAAAAATCAAATCTACTTCCACACTGGGAGTAGTTTTGTACATTGCAAAAAAGCTCACTTTCTACAAAAAGGGTTTTTAATTTGAAAGGAAAAGCAGAACTCAGCTCTTGATAATTAAATTCTATGATAAACAAAGTCAAAGTTTAAGCATACCGGTACACTTCCCAGTTATAAACACACTCAGGCATTAATTACCTTTTTCACTACACATACTTCATAAAAACATATAGTGGGCCATATTTGATTTTCATTTTCATTTCGGCATACATATACATGTATGTATGACATGGAAAGTTTGGCCCCCAAAAAGCTATTTACATTGTACATTGGCAAACACTGCCAATAAGGAAGTTTCACTTGTACTACCAGTAATTTGCTGAAAAAAAATGGGAATTCACACTTTTAGTTTCACAACTTTTGTCTTCCCAAACCATATTTTCTCCCACTTGTTCCTGTTGTTTGGAAATGCATTACCTGTTAGTTGCATCACACACAATGTACATTATTCCCAATTTATTTATAAAACAGTTTGAGGCAATAGAGGGCGAGTCAAAAAGAAGTGACCTGCTGTGGATTCAGGGCAGTTAGGGTTAATGCAGGTGACCCTAACAGGTGACCCTAACAGGCCGGGCAGTTTTGGCACAGTAAACAGGTACAGGAACTAATCTGGTTTTAACTGGTATTAGAAAGTTGAACATGTTGATATATATTTCCTGAGAATTTGTTCCCTACTGCCATTTCCCCTTAATGTATATCCTGCTTTCGTAATGCCAGTTTCTTCCCAGCCAGCTCTGGAATTCCCCAAAAATTCATCAACGGAAGCTTCCTCAAAAAAATCACCATTTCCTACTCCACATATTCCACTCAGCAAATTGGGTCTATGCATGCTGTATTAAAGTAGCTATTAACGAGGTTGTGGAATGCTCGACAACATTTCCGTCATTTTTCGGGTATATGTAGCCTAAGGTGTGATGAAATAAAAACGACTATTGGTTCTGTCATGAAATGAGTACAAAGGGTACTTTTGAGGGCTATTTTTCAGGTCCTGTTTCGACCCGAACGTGCAATTTGTGTAAAAGTCGTCGTTGCGGGCAGCAAACAAAACACAGTAAATCGTGACGTAATAAACAGGACTCGTTTATGCTACTCTGCATCGGGAGTCCTGTTTATTACGTCACGATTTACTGTGTTTTGTTTGCTGCCCGCAACGACGACTTTTACACAAATTGCACGTTCGGGTCGAAACAGGCATGACAGCACTTGAAAAACAGCTCTCAAAAGTACCTTTTGTACTCATTTTATGACGGAAACAATAGTCGTTTTTATTTCATCACACCTTAGGCTACATATACCCAAAAAATGACGGAAATGTTTTTGAGCATTCCACAACCTCTTTAAATTCAATTATGCACTTGCAACAGGTACAAGCACATTGTAAGGTTCGACTTTAAGTATCAATTATGAGCAAACATTTTATTAATATTTGTAAAAAAGCCAGTATACATGCACTTCAAACTTGTATCGTGTCTATTTGTTTGCAAAATTCATACTTTCTGTTCCTCTGCAACTTCTTCATGAAACGCTGGTTATAACTCAATTTTTTATATTCACATTTGCTGGCTTAGATATGTTGGTACTTTCTGTTATTTTATTTCACTTCCTAAATTCAGGAACGGTCCCCCAAAAAGTTGCAAAATTAGCTCGATATTACAACATACCGGTCCCTTTGCCATTAATTGCGTCATATTGAGCATGCGCGCTTGAGCTAAAACATGATGTAAACAATTAAAAAGGACCGGTGTGTTTGTTGCCATCATCGTCTCAAAAGTCTCCCATTGGTTTTTGCACTTTCATGCGAAATAGTGTGCCCACCAGAGCCCTCGTAAGTGATAAAGCACCATCTGTATACTGTTTGTACACGGAGTCCACAGGGGCCCTTACCTGCAGCAGCAATTTAGCGACATCAAGGTGGCCATTGAGGCAAGCAGCATACAGAGGCGTCTGCTTTGTATCACGGTTGGGTTTGCCGTTGGCATGGTGATCCAGTAGAAACTTAACAACGCTAAGATGGCCACCAAGTGATGCCCTAGAGGAAGAAACAAAATCAATTTGATCTAATGCTGCCTGTCATTGCTGTGCCATTCTGTGAAAGTTAAAGATATCTGAGCTAAATATATGCATTATGAAAGGAAATGTAATGTCCTTAACAAAGCCGATGAACCATATCTAATGAATGGTTCAGAGAAATGATCCAAAACTCCTAATCTGTGATCTCCTTGACCATTACCAGATGATGGAGTTATAAGAATAAAATTAACGTTTATTCACTGAGCTCTTAAAATCTTCGCTACGGACATTGCGTATCACTGGAATTGTAAAGAAACATTTTACGCATATCTTCCTCCTCACAAATATGTGGATGCTTTAGGCTCTTAGAAAGTACATGTCCAGGTGCAAGCTTTGTTCTAGTTAACATAAGATGCAAATTTGGGAATAACTTTATGCAACTTATAATAATAATAATAATATTATGTGGTGCTTATATAAAGCTTCATCATTATTAGCCTGCTCATTGGACCAATGAAACATTCCAAATACCATCTCAGCTCCCTGTGGAGTATACATGTACAGCTGGATGCTACCATTTCGACGCAAAGCAGCTTAAATCAACCACAATTTACCGTTTCTGTCCTCATCACAGGTACCCATTTACTCCTGGGTGGAGAGAAGCAATGAGTGACAAAGTACCTTGCTTTAGGGCACACACACCATAGCCGCGGGCTGGACTCGAACCCACAACCTGCAGAATTACCCGCAGACCACGAATTCAATGCTCCAGACCACTAGGCCACGGCACTCCGACTGAGCAACGACTGGAGCAGATCGAACCAAGCTTTAACAGCTAACTTTCTAAAATGGTTGTGAAAGAAAATCAAACGCCTTCAAAATTTCTGGCGGAATTTCAAACCTCACCTGTACAAGGGCGTTTCCTTACACTCCCTGTTGATGGCGCTGTAGCCGATCCGGCGGAGGATCTGACGTAGTTCCTTCACACTGCTGCAAGCTTCCAGCAAGTTGGGCTCCAAGTTGGACCGCAATCTCTCCCGCTCAACTGAAATACCAAATTCAATTCAGTATCGCATATTTATTGTTATCCTTCTACATGTTCTATCACAATGTTTAAGTTATGCTAGGTATGTAAAATTTAAATTTTAAAGAGGTTGTGGAATGCTCGAAGACATTTCCGTCATTTTTTGGGTATATGTAGCCTAAGGTGTGATGAAATAAAAACGACTACTGTTTCTGTCATGAAATGAGTACAAAGGGTACGTTTGAGAGCTAGTTTTTCAGGTCCTGTTTCGACCTGAACGTGCAATTTGTGTTAAAGTCGTCGTTGCGGGCAGCAAACAAAATACAGTAAATCGTGACGTAATAAACAGGACTCGTTTATGCTACTCTGCATCGGGAGTCCTGTTTATTACGTCACGATTTACTGTGTTTTGTTTGCTGCCCGCAACGACGACTTTAACACAAATTGCACGTTCGGGTCGAAACAGGCATGACAGCACTTGAAAAACAGCTCTCAAAAGTACCTTTTGTACTCATTTTATGACAGAAACAATAGTCGTTTTTATTTCATCACACCTTAGGCTACATATACCCGAAAAATTACGGAAATGTCTTCGAGCATTCCACAACCTCTTTAAGTAAGTTATAAACATGTCCAGGCATACTAATACATGTATTGTCAACTCTTTTTTTACACGTATAGCAACCAATTTTGTATCTGTTTGGATTCAAATTTATAAGCAAAAGTTATTGAACGGAAGTGAAAGGTGGCATAGAAAATGAAACACCCTGTAAAAAGTTTCAAAAGGTGCAACAGTTGCTTAAATATAATAAACCTTGTGGTTTTGTTTACCCATCTGTACGTTTTGTTTACACATCTGTTAGTGGACACAGTGTGAGAAAAAATATAATAATAAAAGTAACTTCTTTGAAACAACTTAAAGCGCTCTGACGTTCACAGATTTTTATAACTTGCATTATTTGCATACAAATGAACATTTAATGCGTCAGAGGTAGACATCAAATGCATCTGGTCCATGGCAAATAAAAATTCAAACAACGAAAATTGCAACTGGATCTCTTTTTGTGTGTGTGAAATTGCTCAAGAAAAGGTCTTCATTAAAAAAAATCAGTTGTTCAAAAAAAAGAGAGTACAAATATAAATTGTCACAATCAGCATTTTTATAACCAGAATTTGTGCAAACATTGTTTCTGATAGTGAGAATAACTGAGCACTTCCATTGCTTAAGTTCTTAATGTGCCTAAACAAACTCCAATTATACTAAAATGATGATTTATAGAAACTGTTCTAACTGCAGTACCAAATTCATCATTCCAAGCTCGGACAATTCCGTAGTCTCCATCCACCTCTCCAATGAGCTTGCTGCATGCCGTGGTGATACATGTACCGGTACTGTTATTATTGTTCAGCTTATCCATGCGTGCATCGGTGGCTACAGACGCAGCGCTGTACCCAAAGGCATTCATCATCTTTTTAAAGTATACGTGCAGATAGAATCCAGTGTTCAAACAACCAGTTGGAGCTCTTTAGTACGTCTGCAGAATCCACTGTTTGAATGATAGGTTGGAGTTCTCAAGTTCTGGAGAGGCTGTGTAATCCAGATCACAACAATGCACTTCCTTTTTATACACAGCTCAAACTGCACCCATCAATTTCACGCACGAGATAGTGTTGTTTTATACATGTAGGTGTGGGTGAACGTCACAGCTAGAAATGATATAGGCCTAACCCACCACTGTTCTTTTACTGGAGTCACTTGACAGGATGTTCAAAGTCACACTTGCACTACATGTACATGTATGTGGAGTCCCTACTGGTGCAGTACATTTGTACTTATGATAGAATGTAGAGTTTGTTTATCACTGTTGAGCCTTCAGAACACTGCCTGTTCCGGTGCTGGCCCAATCCCACCCCTACGAAGTGAAGGAAATGACTCCTGGGCATTTATAAATTATAATTTTCACCGACAGGTTCAGAACAAGTTCAAGACCACGTTAGCCTGAAATCCACAGGAATAGCCCAAACACTGCTGATTGTCCCAAATTTACGTATTTTTATGACGCGTATTTGGTACCAGTATGACTGCCAAATGGTCAGCATGATGACGTACAAGTTGCTAATAATTCATGACAGTTCAATGGCCCGTGGTTTATGAAAAAGCTCACAACATACCCGGTACACACACTTTTGTACAAAACTCCCGAGATACCAAATGTCACGCAGTCCCAATGTTTAAATGGAAAAAAAAGAAGAGAACAACAAGATTGTGAGCTGATTCACTCAATCAACAGTCAATTACCACACAGTCCCAAGTTTGTGATCCCCGTTAAAAAACCAAAAAGGCAAATGAACTTCTCAAAGTTCTTGCTGCATGATTATGGAGTACCGTAGAACAGACAAACAGTACTAGCGACTTCAGCTTCAACCAAGGTACTGCAGCACGTCTTTTTTGAACTGCTGAAAAAAGTCCAACAGGTGAATCATCTGAGCAAGGACAGAAGTACCGGTACACCTATGGTGACCACTATAAAACTGGACAGACTGGTTGACTCATTGCCTGAAGCCAACAGATCATACAGTAACACTTTGATTGAAGTGACAAGCGACATGGGATCATCATGATCACCACCCACACAAACACTGGCACATGCAAACAGTGGCAGGAAAGAAACTCAGAAATCCCCGGCAAGAAAAAGTCCAACAGCAAATGGTACATCAACGCACTGTACATAAATATCAAGATCTTTACTGCAACAAGGCATGTGTAACTCTACAAGTACACATAAACAGCGTCCAGCAGGCAGGTTTTCACTGTCTGTTCCGTAGATAGTATGGCCCGTCCACAGAGTGTTAAACAAACATTTTTCCAAGACTTTTTATATCAGATATCTGTTGCACAATAGTGAAAGTGGAACTCGACTCACTTCCTGAGAGCATACTATTCCAAAAACATTATACACGTGTATTGTCCGGTACTTGTCCAATATAATTGTGAGCTGTGAACGGTGAACTGATAGAAGAAATTTATGGAGCTGAAATACCCGGTACCTACATGTATGTATACAACATGTAAATATAATTAGCCACGTCTCATCAATTGTTCGAACTATTTCGTCATCAGAAGCAGGAAATGATTGAAGCTTTAATCAGCTACCACAGGTGTACCACAAAACTGAGACTTAATAGGAATTTCAAGGTTTCACTTTAGACAGTTCAAGGTACTGAAGTATATATGGGCAAGTCATCTGCGTGTGTCACTTTTTTTTTGCCTATGACTATGATGGTCAACTTTGGAAATTCCAAAAGAAGTACGTACCTACACTGTCCATACCGATATGCACAGAAAATACGTACCTTACGTAGGCCCCTCCTGGTTATGTGCCATTTCCTCAGACTGAGGCAAAACTTCCTGTTGTAACTGTACAGATTTCCCTACAGTTTTTTATTTTCCCAATCAATTTTCAGCTTTTATTGTGAATATCCACACTGACTTCTGTATTTCCAGTGTGAAAAGAGCTGTGCATTATTAAAAGGTAATACAGAACATTTGCTTTTGCTGTAATTTTCAGAAATTGTCAGATATTGGGGTGGGTATTATAGTTTATAGAAAACATTGTTCCACTGACCTGTTTAAAGTTTTGCGTTCACGGATGCCGGAAAAAAAAAAAAAAAAATTGCTGTTCAGACAAAACAGACAAAACGGAGCAATTTTATAGAGGTCAGGGAATTGTCAGGTCGGGGAACCAAACTACAAGCTGGCTTATGACAACTCACAGGTATGTTACTGATCGCAAGAAACTTTGGACTAATGAAAAGTAAATTTGATCAAGTGGGAAAAGTATTTGAAAAAAACTTTTTTTTTTCTCAACGACGGTTTGGAAAATGACACAAAATTCCTCTTTTCTTGAAACCAGCAGCAACAATTTCACGCAACGCTTTAGAGTCAAGTAAGGTATTTCATAAATAGTTTTGTATTTTCATTTTTTTAATGTTTGCAAATGTTACGCATTACCTTGAACAATGTGTGCCCAAAAAAATTCAAAAAAGAATTGACTACTTTTAAAGATCTGATTCACATCCATGGAGATTATGGATCATCCTGATGGAAAACTGTCGGCAGATGAGCTATCTTGGTACGAGATGGGTCAAGGATATGCTAAAATTAACTTCTACATTCTTAAAAAAAACTTAACGTACACGTACGTCATAATGAGACAAAATGGATGTTCTAAAAATATCTTGAGGGTGGAGTAATCAGGTCAACATTAGGGAGGGATAAATTTGGCATATTATTCATATCTGTGTGATACAATCCCGTACGTCATTGTGTACGTATTTTGAACACCACATGGGTATGACTGCAGACAAAACAGAAATCAGGTGAAATTGAGTGTCACAGAAAGTTAAAGGTAGAGTAGATCACTGGTCATTCGTGCATTTTTTTTTGAAGCAACAAAAGTGCTCAAAATCTTAAGTAGGATGCTTACGTGAACATGTAGGCCACAAAAAAAGTCTCCGGTTTCTGGTATGGAGCTTGCCCTAAAAGTGGTGCAGCGACGCAGGTTTTTTTTCCCCCCTACTTTTTTTTTCTTCAGATGTCGGCTGTTGCAGAAGACGCTTCGATCCCCAGAGTGGAGCTTGAGGTAAGTAATGCCATAAGGTAGGAGAATTCTGCATCCACTTACGATCTCGACCAACACGAAAATTCTTCGGGAAATTTGGAGAGTCAAGAGAAAGCTCACAGAAAACGGTAACGTTAGACCATACAGCGACAGCGACATCGTGCATGAGCTGCCAGGCTGGTCATTAGTCTGCTCCCTTACATATTGCGCTAATCAAAAAGCATCTACAGGTTCCAGATACAGGCTTCCAGACGCACAATTACAAAATTACAACACCGTCTGAAAATGGTGCCCAACTAATAAAAAACTTATTAATTTTGCCGACGCACATGGCTATGGCGACACAGACCAGAAACCGGAGACTTTTTGGGGGGAGGGGGGGCCTTAACAACTAACCTGATGAAGATTTACTACACATAGGCTTGCTTGTCTCGTTTAGCTAATAATTTTGTGTAATCCATGCCATAATCAACACAGCAAATTTAGAAGTTAACAAGTGCGAGGTCAACCAGAAACGCAACATAAGTACGCCCATATTTTGGTCGTCTCAGTTTTCATCTCAAAGAGGAAATAATCAAAAGTTCCCCAAGGGCAGGGCCCCTTATCTTATCCTAACAAGAGTGACCTTAGGATGAAATGTCCATCCCGGCCTCTATTTTTGTCCAGCGTTTGGATCAGCGTCTCTGCTTTCTGCAATCCTGCTTGATTCTGATTATTCTATGGCATACGGTGTGCCATGGAATGAAACATGTCAGCACCTGATGCGAAGCCTATTCTTCCGATAATTTCTGGCGAGTAAAGCATGTACGGTACCTCCAAGCTGGCTGCTACGCAAGAGGTCTATCCGCTCCGTTCACAAGTACCCCCACACCAGCAAAGAAAGTACAGTTGGGGGTGACCGACCGACGCCATCTTGCCTGACTGCAATTTTGCTGCGACGCGCGGCCACCACTAGCACTGCGTGTACATACATACAACTGAATCCCCTGGTGTACGTGCGTCACACACAAGGAACGGTGCGCATCAACCAGCGAAATCTCCCCAAATGGGACATCGTTGCTAGGGCGCCCTCTTTTGTTGGCGTACGGAGCCCATATACACCTCATTGTACGTGTTTCCAAAAGCTCCCTAACTAACCTTGAGTGATCTGCAAGAAGCTCACGCAATCCGCCTGAAAATTGTTCCTGGCCAGCTCCAGGGGGGTCAAGCGTTTGATGTCACGGTTCTCTAGATCGGCACCGTACTGGACCAGGAGGCAGGCTATCTTCACCTTCCCATCTTTGGCTGCTACGTGCAAAGGCGTCTGGGTATCAAAACAAAAAGCCATAAATATCACAGATGAAAGATGAAATGGGGATCAATTCGGGCGATTCACAATGCAGTGCGCCACCAAGAGTTTGCCACGGAGAGTTCATTTTTCCCAGTACATTGTGGGAGATGGTGGACAAACTTGCAGCGCAGGACATTTGAAATTGCTCTTTATTTTACGGTCATCAGTTTCGTAAGCGTATGATTCGAGTATACATGTATGTTTGCGCTTTTCTTTTCTTTTTATCAATGTGGTGTTTTTTGTCAGGCGGCAGAATGTTTTGCCCAATCTTCAACAAATTAGCTCAAGTTGTCTACTGACGCTCGTTTAAATGGGCTGTGTTTTGTTGACTGTAAACTTGAAAAATGGACTCTCCATGGCAAACTCTCAGTAGTGCACTGCATTGAGAATCACCCGAATTGAACCAATAAATACCGTACTTTGGGACTGAGGTGCATACACTACATTGCTAAAAATGATTTTTTCACAATTTCTTATTTTAAGAATCTACTTCATGTTTGAAGAACTTTTTTTTTGTCTCACTAGCACTCCTTAGAAAAAGTTTCTAGGGAGTGAGATAATATTTTTTTTCTAGATATCAGATTTTGTTCTAATTTCAAAAATATAATTTTCAGCAGTGTAGCTTTTCTGTAACCTTTGGAATTTTTTTTCTTCATTTCTTTGTACTCGGTTTCATTTTTTACATGCATTCTTTCGCTGAGGACAGAGTCTCATGAGGAGGTGAGGAGTAACTGTGAATGTATGTAATCAGACCCATGCATGGGTCTGATGTAATGTAATCTGATGCATATGTAATCCCCCATGCATGCGCCCTTGGGCATGCAGTGGACCGCATCACAGCTTCACAACAAACAATGACACGGAGACATGCTTTCAGGTTTGTTCAATTCATATCCTTCGCTGCTATACAACAGAGTTGAATTATGAGCTTAATTCAGCAAACCGTGAAAAAAAGCTGAACTCAAGTACATGTAGCTACGCCTACGCTTCCACACAAAAGCCAAGGTCATCGGTACACAGTATTCTCTTTGAAATGAAAAGAAATGAAAGCTACCGGTATTCTGAACCAGCTAGGCACTACTCAGTCTGGGACACCTTTTGTCTGCACAGTGGAATGACCTTAAATATAAATTGTAAACATACTCTGTACTGTGTAACCCACTTTTTTCCCCTCTGAACCAAGGGGTGCCTTCATAGTGTGGAAAGTTTCTGGCAACTTCACACAAACTTTCCATGGACATTTTTGAAAGTGAAATGACTTTGGGAAATTCATTTCAAAAGTTGATGGAACAGGAAAAGAACAAGGCTACCAGATTAGTGAGAACTAATCTAATCTTGCTAAAAAGGGGGCAGCCAAGTGTTTCTGGTACTACTGTCAATTCTAAAATCGATGCATGATTTATACATGTAGGTAGATAATTATCTGCAAAAGAAATATATGTAACTTTTTAAAATACCAAATCAAATCAAATTAATGTCGAAAAAGTCCACAAAGCTGTCCAAAAAACAAGACTGATTGTTAAAAAAAATCACAAAAAGTATGCCAACCAAAACTTTTCAAATTGTATACTACTGTCATCCCTAAAAACTATACTTTCCCATACCTCCTTCACATTGTATGATACTCTTGTTGTATGCTACTATAATGTGATCTTTAAATCCTAATTTTTGAGGTCGTAAGCAAAAGCAAAAACCAGAACAGAAACCATGGCTTAAGTAATACATGTATAAACCTAACGTTTTCTGGACCTTTGTTATTAATACTCCACATGAAAAGTGCAAACAAACACAGCAAATGTCAGAGCTTCATTTTGACATTTTTTGTTAACGAATTCACTTCACTATAAAACTCTACTACATACGATTTTTAAGGATGCTTCATACTTGGATGAAACACAAGCAAATTAGTGATTCATGGCCACTATTTACTGTGTGAATTTGCAAATTATGTAAACGCTATAAATCTGGCAAATTTTACTGTGAATGTTCAACATCATCAACACCTGATATTCCTGATAAAAAACCGGAACGGCGCACTTCCACTACCTTGAAACTCAGCCACCTAACAATGGATGGAGAATCTTTTTAAAAAAAATATGATACAAGATCTCCCAATTCGGTCCAGTAGTTTTTGCTGGAGATCCAAATTTTGTGAAGCATGTATACATCTTTTATGTGGGTATTATACATGTAAAATACCAGTGCATGTAACAATTGATCCATCTATCCAATTAAGTCAAATACACGGGCGCGGTTTAGTAATTTATCAGGACAAAATGACTCCCGACTTTGTTTCACAAAATAGGCTCTAGAACAAAAAAACACTGACCGAATCGGGCTATTTTGGTATCATTTTACTTTAACAAAATTTTCCATGCATTGGTATAAGTTGTTTGAGTGTCAGGGTAGCAAAGTAAGCCTGTATGTAAGTCGGCAGATAGAAAAATTTCCACTTACATAATAATTGTACTTCTCAGCTGCAGCAATGTTAGGGTCGGCTCCAGCGTCAAGGAGTAATCTGACGCACTCGATGCTCTCCTCTCTCTCGGATACCTCGGAAGCGCAGACGGCGTGCAGCGCCGTCCGGCCGAAGGAGTCCCTCTCGTTGATGTACCTCCGCTGCTCCCACTTCAGCAGGTCCTCCAGTAGCGGGAAGTTGGAGTAGATGGCGGCCTGATGCAGCAGCTTGCCCTGGAAGTCTCGGTGCTCTGTGTTGCTCAGGTCCACGTCGCCGGAGTTCCCTTGGGTGGTCGCGGGACCGCTGGCCCCGCTATCAGGGAGCATCTTCTTGGCCACACCCACCATAGCTGTCATCAGCCCATCGTCAACGTCGATATCGGGAGATTCAGATGAAGACTTTTCTGAAGAGTGGAAAAAGCGTGAGAGACTTTCTAAGAGGATTTGCAGCTTGTTGCGGTCCGATTCCATTTTTGGTGACGTCTACAGGATACTGTCACAAAGTACTTGAAGCAAAATGACAAACAGCTCTTTTTGGATAAAAGCAATTTTATCATTATCAGCCACTTTAAACTTCAAGCAGTTCACTTTAAAATACAATTTTGTAAAGTACACAGTGGATACACATACCCCCTATCCTACCGAAACAAAGTTATAATATTCATGTCCATTCCCACTGCACAAAAGGCAAACAAGGGAATCAGCATCCTCCCGTGACTTGAAGAAAAAATCTTTTACAGAAATCTTTTTTTGGCGTGAAGATAAACACTCGGTTAAGGAAATGCTGGAAATACACTTAACACAATATATTGTTCATTTTTATATGCCCCCAGTTACAATATACCGGGTATGCTTGAAATATTTTAGGCTCATTACATCATGAATACAGGTACAGTGACAAGCGTATTCTTCCCTTCTTTTCCTCGTTTTTCACAAGTTTCACTTTGAAGCATTTGGACAGGATTTTCCTGAGCTGTGTCAACAATGGTCAAAAGGCTGGACCAGGACTCTTCTCGGCAACTCACCTAGATCCTGTTGTTTTAGTATTGTGAACTTGTATTTCCCCATCGTTAATCATCTACCGACAGTCGGTCAAAAACTGAAACCTGGTATGAATAACACAAGGTCCATGAAAGGGTATTCACATTTTCCAACAAAAATGCAGTGCTGATGATGACTGTGTGATAGATTCAGTTTCATTTACGAAATCAAGTCACTTCTAAAATTCTAACTAACCAAAATTAAAAAAAAAAAAACTCATTTTTCCAGCCATTTTCTGCTTTATAAAACCAATACATATATACATGTACATTGTGCGTACACTGCACGTACAATTTTCCCACCTGCTATATGTAAAATATCTAGTTGAATTTCCCTATCTTCCCTTGCCTCTTCTGCCCTGCACTCCCTCAACTCTGTCACTAGCAACATCCCCCCCCCCCAAAAAAAAATAAAGCCGAAAAAGAAACAGGGTGAAAGAGTGAATTTCAGAACAGAAGATAAAAACAATCAGTGCACGACATCGCGTAGCTGCAATCGGCTCAGTGAGAACGTGTCTCGGACGCTGAATTCAGCCCCAATTCACAACATGATTCAGCAACTTTTGATATCAAATCGAGATCCTAGAATGTTGTTTTTCTCGAAATATACAGCGGAAGCTGAGCTGAAACTTTATCAGGTTTGTTGTTCAGCACCCTTCTGTAGATTTTGAGCACGTTTGTTGCTTCAAACGAACATAATGCACAAATTACAAACGATGGACTGTACCTTTAAACTTATGAATGTTCAGAGCAAATACTTTGCAATGATACTTACGAATGTTCAGAGCAAATGCTTTGCAATGATACCTACCTGTTTGGTCACTGATAAGAATACTAGAATATCCCTTTGTATCACTTTCCCTAAAGATAGCTCATGTGACTAGGCCACGAGACCAGTAGTATTGTTTGCAGCTACATGTAGCTATTGGCTGTTACGTGTACTTTCATTCTCCCAAAGTGGCCATGGGGTGTGGAGCAAAAATTGTAAAGCCTACTAATAAATCCAGGAGCGTCTAAAAGGGAGTGTGTGTGAAGCCTGCTAAATCCAACAATATACCAACAAAAGGGTTAGCAAAGCATGTCAGGTGGATTATAATGTGTTGTGCAAAACTGAAAAAAAGTCGACACAATTAACATCATGTGACGAGTGTTAAAAAAGTTCGCACAAAGTATACTGTGCCTGCATGTTAGCGGTGTGCATTTATGGGTAGTATGGGACCCGGGTATACCCTGCTGAAGTAAAACAGGGTTACCCGGGTACCCGTAAAAGAAACCCAACCCCAAAATTCAAATCCCGGAAGTTGTCTGAAGGGCTTTCAAGCTTACGGTGAACACTTCAACTTTTGAGAGCGTCATCTGTTGCACATGAAATCATTGATTTTCAATGTAGCCTAGTTTTCATTTTGAAAATTCCCACCAATGGCATTCAAAACCTTCTTTTTCATTGTCTGAGAAGTAAGCATGCAACTAGGAGTTTAGAAGAAAAAAAAACAAGAAAACTCCAAACCGCACAAGACTTTGTACAGTATTTTGAATTTGTAATGGCATTCATCGCGAGAAGTAAAAAAAAAAGAGGAAATCAGCGGATCCAAGGAACAGCTGCATGCCTGCTATACTTTGTGAAGATGTTTACGGGTCCCTTATATCCCATAATCTGGAACCAGTTCCTGGAATCAGCGGTCCGGTATCCGGTCACCCAGGTGATGATGCACTCCCTACTGTGTGTAAATGGCTGTATATTGCTGCCCAAATACATGATTCAGCCAGCAGGGTGCCTGCATGGACAGCTTTTGGACACCCTGCAATTGCAAATGGGTCATTCTACCGGTACATGAAACAATACCAGCATGCAGGGGCATCAATCGCTTCTCAAAAGTGGGGGGGGGGGGGGCCATACGTTGATCAGAACTGATGCGAGCGCGAAGCGCGAAGCCCTTACGGCATGGGGTATGAAAAAATTGGATTCTAGATGCTCTGTGGTGTGATCTGAAGCAATTTCTTACCACTTTTCTTCATGCTTTAACTAATATTTTCGTAGCCAAAGATAATTATTTGAACATCCTTTTCGAGGTTGGAGTCATTGAATTGGCTACCAGAATTCTGAGCTACAGGCGTGGGGTTCAAGGCCCGCTTAAGGGCCCCAAAAAATGTGGATTGTAAACGCTCTGTGGTGCTATCTGGGGCAATTTCTGACCACTTTAACCAATATTTTTTTCAGCAAAAGATACATTGAAGTACATAATAGGGCCCTGTAAATGGGACACGAGTTCAAAAATCTGGAGGGGACATTTGATATTGTGTCCCCCACTCTTCAAAAAGTGGGGGGGGGGGGGGGGGGGACATGTCCCCCTGTCCCCCCAGGATTGACGCCCATGCCAGATGGCTTACAATGTATTTCAAGGCATCAGGAACAAGTTGACTGTACTGATATTTTACAGTGTCATCATCAAAGTCACGAGACTTTTGTAAAAAAAAAACGAGGCAAAAGTTACAGGTACATGTACATGTGTAGTTCTATGTGCCATGTGCATGATGCAATGTGTAACGGGGTGAGGAGTTCAATTTTTCAGTATGCACATGAATCTCACTGCATGTATGTAGTCCTACAGAACTGGCCCGACAACATGCATACATGTAGCTTCCACGAAAGTTTGTCAAACAGCGAACTCATCATTTTCCAGACTACAAAAATTGAGACCTTAAAAAGTACTCAGTACATATAAGTGCACTTTTATTCATGTTGATGTTTGAAAATTTTCTTTTCTGAAATACAGTACCGTCAACTTTTTCCACAACATTAACAGATTCACATCTATTACAGAAAGGGAAATTAATTTAATGAAGGACAAAACACTATCCGGTTCGTTAGTGTGACGTCCGTTTAGTTTAAACCACGCCCACTGGCCATTAAGAAGCATTGGAACCATTAGAACTGGAAGCTAATACAACTTGAGTGTTTATCCAATGGGCGCTCGTAATCAATGGTGCGCGCGCGTGTATGACGTTTTACTAACGAACAGGATAATCAAGGAATTACATACATACGTACCATATACCGCACACGTATTTCTTTCTTAATCCGTTGCTTGCTGATCTTGAATGGATATCCACTTGCCTCATGTAGTGCATCCACTAATTCCACTTCTCATCCACTAATTCCACTTCTCATGGAGTTAAGATGCAGTCAACCCGTCAACATTTGCAGAAACAGTGTTCTGGTGCGTCCCGTGATGGTCTGCCAAAAAAGCACATATTCCCATCGGGAGACATGTAGAAAATGTAATATTGCTCAAGATGACTCATTACACAGGCAGTCTGCAAGAAAACCGTACTTCATATTTTTTGGTTGGCAACCGAGTAAAGTGCTACCGTATTAAGTCACTAGATCACTTATAATTCAAAAACGGCACAGAGCGTTTTTGTCCAATGTTGAAGACAAATTTCAAACCCATGTCCACGTCATAAAATAAGGTGTGTATCATACTGGTACCAACTTACTGCCGTGCGCCAATTGTGTGTCTTCAATGTACGTGCACAGTATCAACGTCCAAAAGCCAGTGTGCATTAAAAGACAGGAACAAAGTAATGATACTGGAGTTAGTAATGAATAGAAAAACCGGCTGCACAGGAAGCACTGATAAAGTCACTGCACCCACTGCGCCCGGGGTAAACCTGTGGCAATACCGCATACACTTCACATGAGCTTACCGGTACATGTTCACCCACACATGTACATGTACATGTACGGTACACAGTCATAATGTAGGTTTGTGCATTTCTGAGGACAATATATGTGTCATGTACACATTACGTTGGGATTTCATTATGGCATGTGGTGACCAAGTCTGATGTCACGAAGTCGGTCTACTTGTACTTGTAGCTCTTCTATCTACTTCCCCAAATCCTCCAAAAAAATAATACAAAACAATATAAAAAAAAGTTCTCATGCCATTTAAATTGTGTTAGAGAGTTCTCTTGTTTTGTGGTTTTAAGGCACAATCCCTCTCCAGGGCAAGGGTAGATCCAGATTTTTTTTTTGGGGGGGGGGGGGGGGGGTAAACACTTTTTTTTTTGTTCTCCGAAAGAGTGGGTCCTAACATTTTCCACCCCAATGCAACTATCTAATTGTTTTCAACAAAATAAAATGTGTTGATTTTGTGGGTTTTGTGGGTGGTGCACCAGTGTATTGGCTTCGTTTTTTTTGCCCCTTCCCCCCCCCCCCTGGATCCGCCATTGCTCCTGGCCCCTGCACAAAACCTGATTGTTCACAGTGTGAGCTGAAGGTCCATTCTTCATGTCCTCCCTGCACAACTGTACACACTAATTACACAGTTCAATTTCACGTGTCTGCCAAAACCTCTACAATTTACATACATGTACGATTATAGGAATCAAACTCCTTTTCTTCAACTCTTGATGTGGCACAAACCTAGAATTCATATCAGGATCACTTGCACCACACCTGTTGTCATACCTCTTTCATGGTTTGCAATCTTCATGAACAGAGCAAGAACACTCAAGAAGCAGATCTCTAAATGAACATCTCACAGATCAGTTTCCAACACTTGATGCACCTGTTAAGTGTTTATTTGCGAGGCGTTTCACTGTGAACATCTTGATCCCTTAAGAATAATTTTAAAAGTTTTGCTCTACGAGTAGAGTCAACATTCTTTATGGTCTTAATATCAACACAATCAGTCTGTTATAAAAGAGCCTACAAACATCCTTTAGTTGGGGACTCCTTTACATACGAGAATCAATGACCATCTGACCAAGGACTTATTATCTGAAATGCCATGAAAGCCAATGATCAGGTGACAAGAACACTACTGCTTGCTTCTATTTGGATAGTGGTGTATTGCTATGTTTGACAACTGTATCGTGGGTCATTAAAAAAATCCCTTCAAAAAGCCAGATTAGAAAACCCCTGCCAACCTGGGTAACAATACAGGTAAACATCCACTGTCCATGAAAAGCTCATAAAGATCATGGAGATAGGCCTTGGAGATAGCCCTCCATATAAAGATAAAGGGTCAGGATAATCAATGTATATTTCCATGGGGGAAGGAAAATCGCCAAGGTACATGAACACGCAGTTCAGGACTGGATTCCTTTCTGTTTCAATGTCATGTTGTCTGGTTTTTCGAAAAAAGTCAGGTCCTCCAACTGGTTCACTTGACATGTTTTAGGTCACTCCACTACTGAAGTTCAACTCCAGGGCTACAATAGTACTAGTGCATTTTTGAATAATTTGGTACTTGATTATTGGAACTTAGACATCAAATAGGCCTATTTGATTATTTGAACATTGTGGTATTTTTTTTTCTCAATATCATTAAGTATCAATCAATATTTTTTTTGAGACAGATGAGCAACATTCATTTAACATTGCATCACATACTTTTTTTTCGTCATCTTCTCGAGATGGTTCACATTTATTTAATATTGTAATTTGGTAATTGCTATTTGGAAATTTGGTGGATAATTGAAATATTCAGATATTGGGTACAGGCCTATTCACCACAGCACAACAACTTGCACAAAAACATTTTGATTTTTTTTTTTTTATATCACTAATTAATGAAAGTGTACAGACATGTACGTAGGCCAACCGGTACCTTCTTCCTAAATAATGAATAATATTTTTTCCCCAGGGACCAAGATAATATGTCCAGCCATTTGTCTTTTTTCAAGTGTGGCAAGAGGAAACAGGACAGACTTCTACCGGATTTTATGTTTGCAGACTGATAAATGAACAAGGTTCAAGTGTTTTTCCCTGTAACGGATTGATAAACAAGTGACAGAGTAAACAATGATAACACATTACTATTTCGCTGATGCTAAAAAATACATTGTACACATTCCGTTTTGTCAATAATGAGCACCTTAATCAAAAGGCCCTAACCTTTAGTAAATTAAATTTAGAAAAACTACATGAAAATGGACACTGGACATTTTCTAAGAACTTCAAAAATAGACAGCACACATGCCTCAACTTGACTTCTGTCCAAGCTTAATACGTAGTTGTACATGTAGTACAAAAAAAACACTGTTGAAGTCTTAGGCAAAAAGCTTGTCCTTCAAAATGAGAAAAGGTGTCATTCATTTTTTAGGCTAGTCCATCATGTCCATAAACAAATTATACCTTGACTTCAACTAAACTTTTCAAAGATGCCCCCCCCCCCCATTACATTTCACAAAGAAAGCCTTTTTCAGATATTTTCTTTGTCTCAGAGAGGGATCTGTTTCAGAAAACGCCAGGTAGTCTCCAAGTCCAAACAGGGAGATTGTGGGGAGGCTAAATTTTGCTACAACTGACCTTTATAAATACTCTGTGCATCCGGCTACAAAGTAACTTGATCTTTTTCCTTAAATCTTGAAGTTAACTTTTTTTTATTGTGACACATGTTATTAATTTCAACAATGAAACAAAAACCTGCCTCCCTGTTTTTCTTTACTCGCCTTCCAGCGCTGTGACCCGGGTTCGAATCCCGCCTGGGCCAATATGTGGAATGGGTTTTCAGTCCCTACCGGTACCTGTTTCCGTGGGTTTCCCCTTGAAAATCAAGGGTTTTCCTCCCACCTCTAAAACTGTACTTTCAGGTTTCTTCAGGTAGGCGAGCTAAAGTGCCTAGGGCGCTTTTGAGGAATCCTTGATTGCAGTACCAGAAATTCATACATATATGTAACCCAACCCTCCAGGTTTCAAATCCTCAAAAATGAAACTTGGTTTTGATTGATTTGGAAAAAAAAATCAGTATTAGGCCAAAAAAAATAATAAGTCGGTCTCTGGTCAGCGCGCGCGTCGATTTTAATCATGCGCGTCGATCTTTTTTTTCCCCAAAATGTTCCGCGGTAGCTCCAACAGCGCCCTCTATTTCCGCACCTCCTCAATTTTTTTTTACCAAAGAGCACCAAGGAATGGGGAATTGCACCAAGGCAAATGATCGAAAGCACCAAGGCAAATTATGGACACCAATGTACATGAGGACACCAAAAAAGCAAAATACTACCCCACCTTGTCTGTACAATCCAAGCTTGAAAAAAAAAAAAAAAAAAAAAAAAAAAAAGCCGCATGGCCGCGTCAATTCCGGAACTTTGGTCTGACCAGAGACCGAATGTTTTTTTTTTGGGCCTTATTCACAGGAAACTTATAGCTAAAACTATAAAGCTGGGCTCGGCAAGGGGTAAGAATTGAAAATAAAGCAGAAATTCTGGATCGTAAACAAAGTTTAATATTATGAAGAGAATTTGATATTCTATTTCGAGATTCCTTGCTATGAGTCATCATCACGATTTCCAAATATTTACACAAATTGTACAAGTGCAGGTACACAATGTACGTGTTCTTTATCTTGAAATGTTTTGGCGCCAATGCTAGTGGAATTGTGGATTGTTGGCTTTTTTTATCTGCAGGTGTCATTAATTGTGCGGGTCTAGGATTAAAAAATGAACCAGACGAAATACCATTCCTAAAAACGAAAGAGCTACGGTATTTAAGTAAGGATCTCGTAAATTATCGATCTTGTCGCTCAGGTGCGCGAGTTGCAATGCGACAAGGGGTGTGTTTTTACGGGTAGTAAAGGAACCGGGTACCCCATTGAAAAAAATATGGGTACCCAGGTACCCGTTAATGAAACCCAAGCCAAAAATTCAAGTCTCGGAAGTTGCTGTTCAGATTGTTCATAAAGGTCCGCATGATAATACTAACTACCACATCAGTGGGGCAATACGGCTAGATATAATGTGTACAGTGAGCTCTTCAGATATGTGGTGAAAACTGCAACTTTCGCAAGCATCATAAAAGGTGAAATTGATTTTGGTTTTCCATGTATCCTGTTTTTGATTTTGAAATTTTCCCACTGACATTTGAGACATTTCTTTCCATTGACTGAGAAGTTACTGAGTAATTTGAAAAAGTTGGTTAGGGGTACTTGATTCCACTGAGATACATTTCCAATTTTGTTAGAAAATACAAATACACTCAACTATCCATGATATAGACACTGTACACAACCAAAGATGTGGCGTCAAGATTCTTTCTGCGAATGTCCCCATGTCATGAATGAACTTAGTGAGCTGGATATTTCAAGCTAGTCATTGCTAGTGAGCATGGTGAGTAGCGGAGCTGGATGAATTAGATACTTTTCCGATCAATTACGGTACTGGTGGTGTAAATAGACATGACCATTAAAAGGGGGCCGAATACGCACGGCACAACTCAACCTACATGTAGCCCCACTTCTGTGGCCTCCATATTGCTGCGCTGTACGTTAAAAGGCAACATGTCTGGTTTTCCAACCTACTGAGGTCGAGGAGTTTAGTCCAAACACTGGCAGTGGCACACCCTTTTTGGGAATTGTTTTTTACACAACCACTGGCACTGGTTGTATTGTTGATGTCTCATCTTTTGCCCGCCTGGTAGATTAGGTAATCTTTCTTCAAATTCAGTTTTGGACTAAACTCCTCAGTAGGTTAGGAAACCAGACGTGTGGCCTAACGTGTACAGCGCAAGTGCCAACGGCAGATCGAGGCGCCTGTTTTCAATCAAATTAAACAACAATCAACTGGGAAAAATGGTGACATCTTTACTGAAATATTACGAGGAAATTCTTACCTTAAGTTTTAGTAAATTTGAAAAGAACTCCATTCATCTCCACTCCATGATTCAGACATGTCAAGTCTGTCAATCGTCAGTCACGACAACAGGCATTATCAGACAAGTTCCGTACTTGAAAACAGGTGTTTTGGTTTACAACCTGCATGACATTGACACATGTGATGCGCGCGCTATGACCAGTATTATAGCGCCCTCTCGAGGTCTCTTCTTTAATGAGCCAGTCTACTTTTTGGCGGCAGACTAGACCATGCAAGTCAAACTGGGTGCAGTCCACGCCGTGGTGTAGCCGGTTGTTCTACCCCCGGTGTTCAAAACCGCTGGAAAGGGGGAGGGGAGGACAGAATATCCCCGGAATGAGTGTCCTTCCCCGGGTATTTGTCCCCCCCCCCCCCTCCCATACCGTTTAACATAAGGTAATAAGGGCCACACCAGCACAGACCATGCCCACAGAGTTGTAACGAGTCACTGATTTTTGTGACTCGAGTCGAGTCGAGTCATTTTAAAGAAGTGACTCGAGTCGAGTCGAGTCATTAGGTCAACAAGGTCGAGTCGAGTCGAGTCGAGTCACAGAGTGTGGTCGAGTCGAGTCGAGTCAAGTATTTAGCTCGAGTCAATTCGAGTCACAAATATTTGAACACTTAATTACAATAAAAAGCAACAAACACAAGAGAGAAAGAATACAAGGCACCAGTCTATTACGGAAATCCAAAGACATAAAGTATGCTGTATGGTACCCAACCAACAGTTTCCATTGCTAGCTCACGTCACAGATAAGAAGATGTGAAACTTCGGTCTTATAACTGGTTTGGCTTCGGGTCTAGATTTTGTTGTTCGCTGATCGCTGACAATGTTAAAACCTAATTGCATTATACAAAACTGTTTCTGATTATTTAAAGGTGGGCCCGTCCGTATCCATTTTTGTGTGTGAAATCGGGACATGAATTTAGCCAGCGTTCCACCAAGAACTTCAAAATCGCCCGAAACCAATGATGAAACCACGGATTGAGAAATGCGTTTTAAGTCTGGTTCCGGGTTTAGCATTACATGCTATAGAACCACAAGGTGGGAGTCCGCGACACGGTGTATGTTTGTTGTTTCATTATGGAGGAAGGAAACAGACTGCCGCTGTATATAAACGTACATTATTCGCGAACATTAACGTGACGTGAACAAAAACTGGCAACGGGAACGGCGCAGCGTAAGTCATTGCAAATATTTTTTGCAAGTAAGTTTTGCTTTTATTTTGGGACTCGAGTCTTATTAGCCTTCCTCGAGTCGAGTCGAGTCATTCTGATGAGGGACTCGAGTCGAGTCGAGTCATTTGCTCGCAGTGACTCGAGTCGAGTCGAGTCATTTACCCGTCGGGACTCGAGTCGAGTCGAGTC